ATGGTGGTTTTTGAGCACAGATTAGAAATACCTGAAATAGCTTAGTACTTCCTTGTTTCTCCAAAAACATCCACTGTAAGGAAATTAAGTAGTGTTGCTTTGCTCATGTGTTCAATTTCATGTAACAGGAAAGTATTCACACCCCTTGACTTTTTCCACATTTTATAGCCTCTGTCCATGCTATAATGTTGTCTCTGTTACAGTTGATATGACTTTAACCCCTGTCGTCACTAGACTGAAGCTTCTTCCCATTATGCCCTGGCTTCTGTGTCAACTGCCAACTGTTCCTGCCTCTGTCAGAGTTCCCAATTGGATTGGAGCTTCATTGAACTGGACCCTTAAGACCACATCAGGCCTGCCTCCATTGGATTCATAAACAGATGTAGGGACTGATCTCTCGACATGGACAAATGACTTACCTTAAGGGTCACATAAAATCTGAACATTCAGCTCACTTGCCAGATAAAGATAGACTCTTCATTTGGTTCCTCTTCCTTTCAGGTTTCATCCTTAAATCTGTGGGAAGTATCTGCCTTGTCAGCATATTCTTTGAGAGCTCTGTGACAAACAACTTTTTTCAAAGCGCTACACTACAAATAAAAGCAGTCAAAGTGATGTCTTTGAGCTGTTTTTTTTACTGTCTTGTTTGTACTTACTTGTAGTTACTGTATATCCCTATTATGTCAAGTTTATATACTGTATAGATGGACATTTGTAACCTGTAGATTAAACTACAAGTATGTGGGTTGTTGTGCCCTACTGTGATACAAAATGTAATTGTATGCATGGACTGTCCCTGTAAGGTCTAATAAATAACTAAACATGGAAAGTCCATCGGCCAAAATGACATCAAGCACAATAACACATTGCTATTAACTCAGAAGAAGATTTTGGATCTCAACTGATTTTATAAAGACATTCAACTCACTAGAAACTGAACATTTCTTTCTCCCCCCAAAAACAATGTCAATGTCATATTTTAAAACACTACATGGTAACATACAGTAATTCAAAGACCAACCCACTCCTCTAAAATACAGACAAGGCAACCAAAACAACACAATACATTTTACTGCATCAGAGACCCATTTAAAGAACCCATGGGAGCACATTCATAGTGGACATATAACGTATGCAGACGGACTTGACTTGGAATCGTCTTAATAATGTAATTTTCTGGTTGTGAACTGTTTTTCTGGTCGAGAAAAAATTATATAACCACATTACAACCAACTGGTCTCTGTTACAACCTGGTAAAAACATTATTTTCATGACAAGAAAACCTAATAATAAAGACGTCATATTTTGGTTGTTATCTGGTCAGATTACAACTAGACAAAGACATATTTTTCTGGTTGCTAAAGATACGTTAACTTCTGCATAAACTTTCACACAACCAGTGTACAACCTGACCATGACGTCATAAAATAGATTATACTGACATCATTGAAACCAGTTTTGCCCATTGGGTTACCTGTCAGATCAAGCCTGACATTGGGTGAGTTACTACTGATCAATAACGTGTCTCCCTGACATCACACAGAGCTGTTATCATTTACCACGTCTCATTACTAATCCTGATCATTTCAGGAGTATTGGCTTTGGCTTAGGTGATACATTCAATCATGGAAAATGAAATGATCAAATCATTTAGACTTAAGTTGGAAAGGGGACATTCTCACTGATGATAAGTTTAAGGTTTAGGGGCGTTCAACTGAGATCACATTCACATGGTCCATAGCGCTGGTTGGCATATGGGTGCCTACTGCCTATCAGTGATGCTCCACTTCTGAGCTGAGTAGCTAGGTGGTGCAGTAGTTCCCTTTCAGATAGACAACTGAGTGGAACCACCCAAAAACACCAGAGAACAAAAGGCAAAAGAGGACAGTACAGTTTGTTGTAACATGTTTGCAAATAACAAGCCAAAGCAGTATCCTCTGAGAGTCAACTTTTAGATTCTATGGTTATATCATATCCATTTAAATATACTGAACAAAAATATAAATGCAACCCATATAAGGAAATCAGCAAATTAAAATAAAAAAATTAGACCCTAATCTATGGATTTGACATGACTGGGAATACAGATATGCATCTGTTGGTCACAGATACCTTTAAAAAAAGGTAGGGCCATGGATCAGAACCAGTCAGTATCTGGTGTGACCATCATTTGCCTCATGCAGCGCGACACATCTCCTTCGCATAGAGTTGATCAGGCTGTTGATTGTGGCCTATGGAATGTTGTCGCACTCCTCTTAAATGGCTGTGTGCGAAGTGGCTGGATATTGGCGGGAACTGGAACACGCTGTCGTAAACGTTGATGCAGAACATCCCAAACATGCTCAAAGGGTGACATGTTTGGTGAGTATGCAGACCATGGAAGAACTGGGACATTTTCAGCTTCCAGGAATTGTGTATAGATTCTTGCGACATGGAGCCATGCATTATCATGCTGAAACATGAGGTGATGGCGGCGGATGAATGGCATGACAATGGGCCTCAGGATCCCATCAAGGTATCTCTGTACATTCAAACTGACATCGATAAAATGCAATTGTGTTCATTGTCCGTAGTTTATGCCTGCCCATACCATAACCCCACCGCCACCATGGGGCACTCTGTTCACAACATTGACATCAGCAAACCGCTCACCCACATGACGCCATACACGTGGTCTGCTGTTGTGAGGCCGGTTGGACAGCATGCCAATTGCACACTCCCTCAAAACTTTAGACATCTGTGGCATTGTGTTGTGTGACAAAACTGCACATTTTAGTGTGGCCTTTTATTGTCCCCAGCACAAGGTGCTTCCGTGTAATGATCATGTTGTTTAATCAGCTTCTTGATATGCCACACCTGTCAGGTGGATGGATTATCTTGGTAAAGGAGAAATGCTCACAAACAGGGATGTAAAGAAATATGTGCACATCATTTGAGAGAAATAAGCTTTTTGTGCGTATGGAAAATTTCGGGGTCTTTTATTTTAGCTCATGAAACCAACACTATACATGTTGTGTTTATTTTTTTGTTCAGTGTATATATTTTTCACTATACTATGTATGCCATTTAGAAGGACTTCCAATCTGAAAAAAATCTGACTTTTCTCATCAGTAACAGTAAGAGAAGTGACGAGCTAGACTCCCTCATTCTTTTGTACCCTTGAGTGTTAAATATATGTTATTATGACATCATCTTGTAAGTAAAGGAAAAAGGACAATTACAAAATATGAATCTCAAAATGAGTTTGTAATATAATAACTTCATGTTTGAGGGCTAGCTGGTTATAAGTAACCATCTGTCTTATGTAACCATACCAAACGTAACATATCAAACTAAATGGAGTGTCTCGGATTTACGTACAGAATAATACAAAATGCTCTAAGACCAGGTTGCAACAATATGTAATTCACCCAGAAGTTGTCATTTATGGCCAAATCGAATTCTCCATTCTTCATTGTCATCACAGTTTATCTTGAGCAGATTAAAGTAATTAATTGTTTTTTATGACCAAAACGATTTTGAACAGTCCTGTTGAATGCATATGGACTTATTTATAAGCCTAATGAACCTTTTCACAATTTAACAGCCGTAAGTGTCCATTTGAGATATTTCACCAATGTCAATTAGATAGCCTACATTGGCATGGTAGTGATTACCTCCACTACTTCCTCCTAAAGCACATAGCCTAGCAGGCTGTGGGGCACACTTTGTGGACTGGTATTATTATGGATAACTGAGCCGTATACTACGAATCAGGTTAGCGAGGTAACTTTGGTCAACTCTGAGATCAACTCGGGATAACCGGTGACACAAATGTGGCTCTAGCCAGGTACATTTCTATAGCAACGAATCCTTCAGAAGTAACCTGATCCCGGGCAGGCTAACTCAGGGTTTACTCCATTTATATTGAATGAAGTGTTTGAGCCGTGAGTTGAGGACCAATCAAATTCTTGTGTTAAAAATAGTAATATTCAAATACATTTCACACAACATATTTAGTAATGACAGGATGCATTTGAAACTTCACGTGCAGTAAAACTTTCGTATGACTTAATACAATTATTTTATCGATAGGAGTGGGAAGCACACCAAATAAATGATATGCGTAAGAAAGACAGCGCTTGTAGTTGCCCATTTCACCCCATAGCCTGCTGAATTTGCAGGTAAATTGATTTCGGCAAAAATGTAAATGTGGCACTAACTCGCCCACGGATTGATGTTTCAACATTGTCTCAATGAAGAGTTTGTCGTTCGACTAGCCATGTGTGACATGAATGCGCAGCTCATGAAGTTAGGTAATTTCAGAAAAGCCTGAGTAAATCTAGCTACATTCATAGTATACCCCTCTAGTCTTCACTTGATTAATGTTCAATTGATATAGATATAGAACAAACTGATATTGTGATATAGAACAAACACCACTGTGAAACAAATAGAATAACGCCCGTGAAGGCTTCACATAACACTAAGGCATGTTGGAGAACACCAAGTCAGTCACAAAGTGAAATAACCACAAAATAACACATTGGACTACTCTTGTCACGATAAACAACAGGTCCAACAAGATTGTCCAAAATGTTTGTTCACAAAAGCGACGGTTACAACTATGGAACACTGGGTGGCGAGGTGGGGCCTTACCAATCGGCGCACAGCGGTGTAGCAGTGATAGCGTTCCTTTGCTTGGAGAGGTACAAGTCTAAAGCTGTCCATGGAAGGTCAACGTTGATAGCTTATCCACCATAGCAAGTCAATCTAGAGAGAGCTTTTCCACCTATAGGAACCAAGGTATGCCCTTTAAGAGCAGTGAGACCGAGTCAATGAGACTATCATTCTGGAGGGTGTTGTCAGGAGTACAGTTTTTTGCTTATTTCTATTTCACTCCATTCCTATATGTATCTGTATGCATGTCTGTTCCTTTTACCTCAGTCCTCCCTTCCCTTCCCTCTTTCTTTCTACGGCGTCTCACCAATACTGTCTATGCATAACTCTCTCTCTCTCTACTAAGCCATGTTGTTGGTGCTCTCCCCCAGTAGCCAGTAGGTCTTCATCCACCCTTTGCCTTTCATCTCTACGTCTCCTCTCAGCTCCAGCTGGAAACAGTTGAAGTCGTCCAGCACCACGCGCGTGGCCTCCGACACGTGTATCTTCAGGGCTGAGGGATGATAACATGACATAAATGTGGTCATTTAAACCAGAGAAGGAACAGTGTTTGTCCTGATAGGTCATGAGATAGTAGATACAATAGGTTGGTCACTCTCACCCTCCCCATTGGACTCCATGCGAGAGGCTGTGTTGACTGTATCTCCAAACAAGCAGAACCGAGGCATCTTCAGTCCTACAACACCTGCACATACAGGGCCTGGAGAGAACACACAGACAACCTATTCCAATATTCCACAGAATCCAGTGATTCCACAGTTTCAGAAAAGCTCAATGAAGTGCATTTGCCAGAAAACCAATACTATTTTAACTCTACAATCCCCCACCCCTGCCGCTCACCACTGTGGATGCCACTGCGCAGACGGAGTTGCTGGGCAGGTCGGTGGCGGATCCTGAAGGAGTGTACGGCCTCCAGCAGGGCCAGGGACATGCGGGCGATCTCTCGGCCGTGCAGCTTGCCATTCCTCACCGGCAGCCCAGACACCACCATGTACGCATCGCCTATCGTCTCCACCTGAGGGCGCCACAGAGAGAGACGGTCACACTGTCGCTAGGGTTCTTAACGGGAAACTTCAAAAATGTTCTACTTTGCATTCATCATCTCCAGCACCACCCCAACATCAACATATGTGAAAATGGTGCGTTTCTATGTTTTGTAATAAAAAAGATAGAGGAAGATAAGTGTTTCCAATGACATCATCGGTGTGCATAGTGTGATTTTGACCAATTGTGAGTAGGCATTGCCAACTAATTATCGAGTAATTGTCTCCTAATTGGTTGATGACGTCATTGGAAACACCTATCTTTCTCTATCTTTTTTACTACAAAACATAGAAATGCACCATTTTTACTTATGTTGATGTTGGGGTGGTGCTGGAGATGATGAATGTGAAGTTAAAACATTTTGAAATGTCCCTTTAAATATGTCCTTAACCCAGTGTTGGGTAACTGTGGTACAGGAGGACCGCAGTGTGTCCAGGTCTTTGTGTCATTCTAGCTCCAACACACCTGATTCAACTAATCCTCAAGCAATTGATTAGCTGAATCAGTTGTATTAATGCTGGACTGGAACAAAAGCTTGCACACCCTGTGACCATGTGTGTATAACAAGGTGTAGAGCAGGGTTCTTCAATTCCGGTCCTGGAGGGCCGAAACACCTCTGTTTTTCATCCTCTCCTTCTAATCAGGGGCTAATTCAGACCTGGGACACCAGGTGAGTGCAATTAACTACTAGGTAGAAATAAAAAACAGAAGTGTTTCGGCTCTCCAGGACCGGAATTGAAGAACCCTGGTTTAGAGTCTGACTTCACCTTGTAAACATCAAAGTTGTCGATGATGGCATCAAAACACGTGTAGAGGTCATTCAATAGGGTCACCACCTATGGGAAACCATGAATATTATCAGCCTCTGCATAAAATAAGTAGAATAACAGTCAATTAATTTGCAGAGTGATATAAGGCATTTTCAATCCAGTCAACTTCTGAAAAGTGCACATTGAACACAAGTATGCTTAAATGGAGTGCAGTTCATCGGTCCCAACTCAAATATATTATTTGTACTACTCCACTTCTCATTCATGACATCCCAAAGCCATTGCATATCAGGAGTAGACTGTATTGGCAAACTGCTATTGACTACATGAATTGAGGACTGACCTGCATGGGTGTGCTCTCTGCTGAGATGGCGGTGAAGCCCACAATGTCACTGAAGTAGATGGTGACTGAGTCAAAGGCCTCAGCCTGCACCGTCTCCCCTCTCTTTAGCTGCTCCGCTACAGAGCTACGTGAGACACAGTGTTAATCAGAGTGAGTAGGCTGTGTGTGTGTGTGTGTGTGTGTGTGTGTGTGTGTGTGTGTGTGTGTGTGTGTATGATTCAGTCCAATCACCAAATGATGTTTGGATTTATTAGTCCTCTGCAGAGTGGAGCCACTGATGAGCATTTCTGTGTGTGTTTAATTTTTTTGACTTGATTTAGATTTGTGGAAACACTGCATTCAAAATCATTGAGGATAACACAAAAAAGTGTAACTACGTATTTCCATTGTGGTCCTCAATACACTCACTGTGGAAGTATCTGGTAGAGCAGTGCCTCAGCCTTGCGTTTCTCTTCATGGTAGGCCTGCGTTCTTTCCTCCACCAGTTCTTCCAGGTTATTGGCGTACTGCTCCATACGAGACAACAGGTTGTCCAGGATATTAGACCCATAACCTCTGTGGAGGGAGGGATGGAGAGAGGGATGGAGGGAGGGATGGAGAGTGGGATGGAGGAGCAGAGTAAAGAACGGGTAAAACGGTGGAGGGAGGTTTTGAAGATAGTCGTCAGAGCAGTGCAAACCTGTTGTGAGTACATAAAGTCATTGGGGATAATAAATACATGTTTGTGTGTGGAGTGTTATTTTGAATGCAGATGAATGAAGATCTCTAAAGTGAGTGGATGGGCATAAGTGCGTGTCTGTAGACCAGGAACCATATAAAGTGCATGGCGTTAATGGAGGTTTAAGCAGTGCGTACAGACATAGTGTACCTATTGTGTTTGCGCAGCAGCAGCTTGATGTGGTGGAACTCGGGCCTCTCGTTCATGTCCTCGCTCCAGCAGCGCTGCATGAGCTGGCCCACCTCTTCACTGTGGCTCTGAGGGCAGAGGGAGGGCCGCAGGTAGGGCCACTGGCCCAGGGCCACGCGTTCTACGATCTCTGGCAGAGAGAAAGAGGGAAGGAGGAAGACAGGGGAGAGAGAGAATATGTGAGAATTCATATAGCCATATTGTACTATTGTACTAAGGCACACATCGATTTCAGAGAGAGAGAGAGAGAGAGAGAGAGAGAGAGAGAGAGAGAGAGAGAGAGAGAGAGAGAGAGAGAGAGAGAGAGAGAGAGAGAGAGAGAGAGAGAGGGAGAGAGGGAGAGAGGGAAAGGGAGAGGTGGAGCTCAAGTGAGCTTAATTTAGAAAAGCTACACAGCCCTTGGACAGGCAAGCCCCTTTTCCTTTCGAGTAACAAGAACAACAAAACACTCCATGTTAGAAGTCTCTTCTCTGTCATCAAATCTCTCCATCTCCTTCCTATCGTCCCTCTCTCTCTCTGTTTCCTTTCTTTTCTGTTCCAGACAAGGCAGCACTTCAAACGCAGCGGCATCGAAATAGATTTGAATATGGAAGATAAAAGGCCATGCAGAATGAGGTTGAAGGAAATGATGTGTTCTGTTAAATGCGTCAATACTTTAATGACACATTATACTGTATCTGGGTCACCGCTCATGTTTACTCTCCATATCAGCTCTTCTTACATTTACATTTACATTTAAGTCATTTAGCAGACGCTCTTATCCAGAGCGACTTACAAATTGGTACATTCAACTTAAACGACTTGTCCCCGTACGATGCAGTAAAGTACAGCGGTGTAGTTGCCCACTCTAAACAATCTATTGTAGTAAACTGGTACACACTGGCTCAGGCTGCTCTACCAGTTTCCACAGGGTGGGGCCATTATATTACAGGTTGATGGAGGGAGGGAACCGCTGCAAGATGGGAGCAATATATGAGTAAAGAGGGGAAATGAAGTTCACACAAGCACACACCCATCACTAGACCACAGGCAGACAGAGACAGACAGAATAATACAGAGCAGAGAGTTTAGGGATGGTGTGAGCGTTTGCGTGTTTGTCAGGTGGGGGGTGGGTGGGTGGTTGGTTGTTGTTTTAACAGGTTCAACATGGCCGTGTAGCGCTGAGGACCTGGCCAGGCTCAGACAACAATGGGGTCATAAGGGGTTGGATCACAGGGATGTGATTGACATGTTCATTGTCCAATGAGCTTGCTGACGAACGAGTCCAGCGCCTCATCATCTTTGATTCCCACAAACTGGTCGATGACGTCGCCTCCTCGCGTGGCGATTACCGTGGGGACCGCCGATACCCCATATTCAATGGCCAAGTCTGTGTGATCATCTATGTCGACCTTTGCCATGGCAACTTTGCCTTTCTGTTTGGCGACAGCTTTCTCTAATCTTGGCCCCAGTATCTTGCAGGGCCCACACCACTGGGCATGGAAGTCAATTAGCACAGGCAGCTCACTGTTGATGACTCTCTCTGTGAAGTCCTCATGGTCCTGCACGTTGTAGGAGACCTCTCTGCGGGAAGTGTGGGGCAGGGAATGGGACAGAGTGCGTTTGGGGGAAAGGAAGGATAGAGGGGCAGTGGAAGAACGCAGGGAGGTAGAGAAGGAGGAGGTGGAGGCCGGGAGACAGCGGAGGTCTTTTACAGAGAGGGTCCAAATTCTACGGACTAGCAGCTGGTGAGCCATCGTTCTGTACACTATCGTTCTGGTCTCTATATGAAGTACTTCTTCATTCCATAAACCAACAATATTTCCATCAGGGGACCGGGCTCTTCCGATGCCAATGGCCTGAACTCATTGTCCATCACCCCTCTCTCTTCTCATTTAATTTATTTTCCACTTATTTTTCGTTCCCAACTTCTGTCTCTTGTCTCTCACACATTTACATTTGACATTTTAGTCATTTAGCAGACACTCTTATCCAGAGCGACTTACAGTTAGTGAGTGCATATATTTTCATACTGGCCCCCCGTGGGAAACAAACCCACAACCCTGGCGTTGCAAGCGCCATGCTCTACCAACTGAGCTACAGGGGACTACATAAATGATATGACCCCCAACCTCTTCAATTCTATGAACCCCAATCTCTTCAATTCAATGTGTATATAACCGCCGTCAGTGTGCTAGCTTAGCATATAGCGCTGCCTCCCTGAACCAGGGTCCTCTACCTCAGTGGTTCCCAACCTAGGGGGCGCGCACACCCCATAGGGGGCGGTAACATTTCGTGGGGGTGCATGGGACCTTCCTTTAAAAAATAAATAATGTAATAAACAATTCTCAATTGTTTATACCAATCAAAAAATCTGCAAGGCTAGAAACAAGTGGTAAAATGCCAGAGGAAGACGCGACTCTGATGCACATTACATTTACATTTACATTTTCGTCATTTAGCAGACGCTCTTATCCAGAGCGACTTACAAATTGGTGCATTCACCTTATGATAGCCAGTGGGACAACCACTCTACAAACATGGGAATGTCTTTGGTTTGTCTCTATGACATTCATATGAAGCGGAGGTACGACCTTCTAAAGTCGAGTAGTCAAAGAAATTGGACTTGTGAAGTAATCTTATACAATGTGTCACTGTTGCTAACAATTGATCTAATCACTTTCCGTAAAAGAGAATATGTATAATTAAATTAAGGGTTCATATAAATTATCATAATAAAACATATTCAGTAGCGGAATAACATTTTGGAGAAATCAGGTCTAGACTTTATTTCCTTATACATTATTATTATTATTATCATTTAATAGTCTACCTAAAAGATGAGTCTTGTTAAACTATGAAGGAATTGCAGGAAATTAGCTTCAAAACAAAACATTTCCTTGGTCCCTCAAATTAAACAAAATCAAGCTGGTGGTGTATTTAATATAGGCAATCTCAATAAGCTGGTGGTGTATTTAATATAGGCAATCTCAATAAGCTGGTGGTGTATTTAATATAGGCAATCTCAATAAGCTGGTGGTGTATTTAATATAGGCAATCTCAATAAGCTGGTGGTGTATTTAATATAGGCAATCTCAATAAGCTGGTGGTGTATTTAATATAGGCAATCTCAATAAGCTGGTGGTGTATTTAATATCGGCAATCTCAATAAGCTGGTGGTGTACTATTTAATATAGGCAATCTCAATAAGCTGGTGGTGTATTTAATATAGGCAATCTCAATAAGCTGGTGGTGTATTTAATATAGAACATCTCAATAAACAATACAAATGTGAAAAAGGTTGGGAACCCCTGCTCTACCTCACCAACACATGTGACCGATCGCTTGACAATGTACGAACTGATTGAGCTATAGAAAAAGGTACAGTATTTCAATGTGTTTTCATAAGAGCCTGCCTAGGCATTTCTACTGACAGCAGCTAGGGAGCTAGCCCTTTATGACCACTGGGACATGCTCTTGATCCTACATACTTAGGGGAATGTCAAGGAGTCCTGAGTGTATTTTCCTACGCAGGAGATTTATGTTTCCCTGGAGAATAAGCAATTTAGAATGTATAAGTATGTGTACTTATACATTTTGTGTGTGTGTGTGTGTGTGTGTGTATGTGTGGTGAAAGATATATGGTGACAGAGAATCAGCACCTTAGAAATGTCACAGACCCAGGGCTGACAGGACTGGTATGTAGAGAAGGAGGAGTGAGAGACAGACAGAAATTAAGAAAGAAAGATAGAAAGAAAGAGGAAAGAGACAGAAAGAAAGAGAGTACCCTATGATATATTATATTTAGCACAGCCAGAAGGGCCACCCCTCAGAGCCTGGTTCCTCTCTAGGTTTCTTTCTAGGTTTCTGCCTTTCTAGGGAGTTTTTCCAAGCCACTGTGCTTCTACATCTGCATTGCTTGCTGTATGGGGTTTTAGGCTGGGTTTCTGTATAGCACTTTGTGACATCTGCTGATGTAAAAGGGGCTTTATAAATACATTTGATTGATTGTTTGATTGATATTCATTTCCGCGGGAAGGTGCTGAGGGTGCTGCAGCACACCCTGATAAATATTTTATTTTCCTTTATTTCTAATAAAAAATAAAACATTTGAAAACAAGTAGGCCTTTACTAGTCCTGTATTAGCGGACCGATATAGCCGTCTGTAGCACTGGCAAAAAAATCTCAGCACCCCCACCCTCAAACACCTTCCAGAGGCTATGAATGTATAACGTTGCTGTCCTAACAACTATGTACTTCTCAGAATTCAATTGGATTCAGTGCCATGCTTCTTGAAGACAAATAACAAATGTGTAAAAAAAAAAAAAAAAAAAGTTCCTGTACATTTTCCCTGTCCAAGATGCCTGTCCTTGTCATTTCAAAATGATCTGTGTTCTTCACAGAAGCTAATATAGTCCAGGTCTCTTTTGAAAAATAGTTTTTATCTCAATGAGACTAACCTGAGTAAAATGTTTTATTTTTATGTGCAATGAAATGCCCAAAATAATCGAAATGAAAGACGCCAACCTCAACCGTTTTTTAAATGTTCATTGTTTCAAGTGCCCATCCATATTTGTCTGTGCTTTCATCTTTAACCCTAACCGTATTTACCTTGATATACACTACCATTCAAAAGTTTGGACACACCTACTCATTCAAGGGTTTTTCTTTATCTTTACTATTTTCTACATTGTGGAATAATATTGAAGACATCAAAACTATGATAACACATATGGAATCATGTAGTAACCAAAAAAGTGTTAAACAAATCAAAATATATTTTATATATGAGTAGCCGCCCTTTGCCTTGATGACAGCTTTGCACACTATTGGCATTCTCTCAACCAGCTTCATGAGGTAGTCACTTGGAATGCATTTCAATTAACAGCTGTGCCTTGTTAAAAGCTAATTTGTGGAATTTCTTTCCTTCTTAATGCGTTTGAGCCAATCAGTTGTGTTGTGACAAGGTAGGGGTGGTATACAGAAGATAGCCCTATCTGGTAAAATACCAAGTCCATATTATGGCAAGAACAGCTCAAATAAGCAAAGAAAAATGACAGTCCACCATTACTTTAAGACATGAAGGTCAGCCAATGCGGAATATTTCAAAAACTTTGAAAGTTTCTTGAGGTGCAGTCGCAAAAACCATCAAGCGATATGATGAAACTGGCTCTCATTAGGACCACCACAGGAAAGGAAGACCCAGATTTACCTCTGCTGCAGAGGATAAATTCATTGGAGTTACCAGCCTCAGAAATTGCAGCCCAAATAAATGCTTCACAGAGTTCAAGTAACAGACACATCTGCGTGATTCAGGCCTTCATGATCGATTGCTGCAAAGAAACCACTAATAAAGGACACCAATAAGAAGAAGAGACTTGCTTGGGCCAAGAAACACGAGCAATGGACATTAGACCGGTGGAAATCTGTCCTTTAGTCTGATGAGTCCAAATTTGAGATTTTTGGTTCCAACCGCCGTGTTTGTGAGACGAAGAGTAGGTGAACGGATGATCTCCACATGTGTGGTTCCCACCGTGAAGAATGGAGGAGGAGGTGTGATGGTGTGGGGGTGCTTTGCTGGTGACACTGTCAGTGATTTATTTAGAATTCAAGGCACACTTAACCAGCATGGCTACCACAGCATTCTGCAGCGATATGCCATCCCATCTGGTTTGTGCTTAGTGGGACTATCATTTCTTTTTCAACAGGGCAATGACCCAACACACCTCTAGGCTGTGTAAGGGCTATTTGACCAAGAAGGAGAGTGATGGAGTGCTGCATCAGATTACCTGGCCTCAACAATCACCCGACCTCAACCCAATTGAGATGGTTTAGGATGAGTTGGACCGCAGAGTGAAGGAAAAGCAGCCAACAAGTGCTCAGCATATGTGGGAACTCCTTCAAGGCTGTTGGAAAAGCATTCCAGGTGAAGCTGGTTGAGAGAATGCCAAGAGTGTGCAAAGCTGTCATCAAGGCAAAGGGTGGTTACTTTGAAGAATCTCAAATATATAATATATTTTGATTTGTTTAACACTTTTTTGGTTGCTACATAATTCCATATGTGTTATTTCATAGTTTTGATGTCTTCACTATTATTCTACAATGTAGAAAATAGTAAAAATAAAGAAAAACCCTGGAATGAGTAGGTGTGTCCAAACTTTTGACTGGTACTGTATATTCTTTAATACCGTAATTGCAGTGCCTTCAGAAAGTATTCATACTGTCACGACTTCCTCCGAAGCTGCCTCCTCTCCTTGTTCGGGCAGGCTTCGGCGTTCGTTGTCACCGGCCTTCTAGCCACTGCCACTCCTCATCTCATCATTCCATGTGTCTTGTCAATTACACACAACTGGTTCATATCCCCTCATCAGTACCTGTATAAGTGTTCCCTCTGCCCCCTTGTCTTTGTGTGGGATTGTTTATTGTGGAGGTTAGATTAGCTCGGTGGAGCTCTTTGTATTTAGTATCGCCGGGATATTCACACGTGTGCCTTGTTGTTTTCCAGTGCGCCGTATTTCCACACTGGAGTGTTTGAAGCATTGTAATAACCTCCCGAGTGGCGCAGTGGTCTAAGGCACTGCATCGCAGTGCTAGCTGTGCCACTAGAGATCCTGGTTCGAATCCAGGCTCTGTTGTAGCCGGCCGCGACCGGGAGACCCATGGGGCGGCGCACAATTGGCCCAGGGTAGGGGAGGGAATGGCCGGCAGGGATGTAGCTCAGTTGGTAGAGCATGGTGTTTGCAACGCCAGGGTTGTGGGTTTGATTCCCACGGGGGGCCAGTATAAAAAATAATGTATGCACTAACTGTAAGTCGCTCTGGATAAGAGCGTCTGCTAAATGACTTAAATGTTAAGGAATAAACCTTTTATTCTGTGATTTACCCTCCTGCGCCTGACTCCTTCTAAATCACTCACCACACATACCCCTTGACTTATTCCACATTGTGTTGTGTTACAGCCTGAATTCAAAATTGATTACGTAGTGAAAATATGTTTCTAGAAATGTATGTACATTTACTGAAAATGAAATACAGAAATAGTAATTTACATAAGTATTCACACCCCTGAGGTGGAGTCAATACTTTGTAGAAGCACCTTTGGCAGCAATTACAGCTGTGAGTCTTTCTGGGTAAGTCTCTAAGACATTTCCACACCTGGATTGTGCAACATTTGCCAATTAATATTTTAAAAATTATTCAAGCTCTGTCAAGTTGGTTGTTGATCATTGCTAGACAACCATTTTCAGGTCTTGCCATACATTTTCAAGTAGATTTAAGTCAAAACTGCAACTCGGACACTCAGGAATATTCACGGTCTTCTTGGTAAGCAACTTCAGCGTAGATTTTGCCTTGTGGTTTAGGTTATTGTCCTGCTGGAAGGTAAATTCATCTCCCAGTATCTGGTGGAAAGCAGACTGAAGCAGGTTTCCCTCTAGGATTTTGCTTGTGCTTAGCTCCATTCCGTTTATTTTTTATCCTGAAAAACTCCACAGTCCTTAACGATTACAAGCATACTCATAACATGATGCAGCCACCTCTATGCTTGGAAATATGGAGAGTGGTACTCAGGAATGTGTTGTATTGGATTTGCCCCAAACATAACACTTTGTATTTAGGACAAAAAGTTCATTGCTTTGCCACATTTTTTGCAGTATTACTTTAGAGCCTTGTTGCAAACAGGATGCATGTTTTGGAATATTTTTATTCTCTACAGGCTTACGTCTTTTCACTCTGTCAATTAGGTTAGTATTGTTGAGTAACTACAATGTTGTTGATCCATCCTCAGTTTTCTCCTATCACAGCCATTAAACGATCTCCTATCACAGCCATTAAATTATTTTAAAGTCACCATTGGCCTCATGGTGAAATCCCTAAGCGGTTTCCTTCCTCTCCGGCAACTGAGTTAGGAAAGACGCTTGTATCTTTGTAGTGACTGGGTGTATTGATACACCATCCAAAGTGTAATTAATAACTTCACCATGCTCAAAGGGATATTCAATGTCTTTGTGTTTGATATTCACTGCTTGACTGAGGGACCTTACATATAATTGTATGTGTGGGGTACAGAGATTAGGTAGTCATTCAAAAATCAACCTAAACATTATTATTGCAGACAGAGTGAGTCCATGCAACTTATTACGTGACATTTATGTGAATAATTATTTAGGCTTGCCATAACAAAGGGGCCGAATACTTATTGACTCAATACATTTCAGCTTTTCATTTTCAATTAATTGGTAAACATTTTGAAAAACATAATTCCACTTTGACATTATGGGGTACTGTGTTTAGGCCAGTGACCAAAACATCTCAATTTAATCCATTTTAAATTCAGGCTGTAATCGAACAAAATTTGGAAAAAGTCAAGGGGTGTGAATACTTTCTGAAGGCACTGGACATGCCTGTACTTGCCTGAAGAACACACACAGACACACACACCTTTGGGGCTGAGGGTGTCCCCCTCCATGTGGAAGACCCCTCTGAGCAGGGCCAGCTCTTGCAGGATGATGCCGAAGCTGTAGATGTCTCCTTTCTGAGTGCCACACGGTGGGGGACACTCTGCCCTCAGCAGCTCTGGAGCTGCCCACAATTTCCCTGTAAAGGGAGAGGGAGTGAAGGGGGATTGGAGAGAAAGAAAGAGGGAGGTAGAGGGGGAAAGTGGGAGAGAGAAGAGGTGGATACATTTCTTTATTTTATTTTTTATTTTTTGACCTTTATTTTAACAGGGAAGACATCTTGAGACCTAGGTCTCTTTTTCAAATGCGCCCTATATAATACAACATAAATATACACATTATACACAAAATATATGTATACACATAAGAATAAAAGGCCATTTCAAGATGTATTACGAGTTTCCTTTAGCCAAAGATGTACTTAGAGAGAGAGAAAGAGACAGATTGACTGAGAGTTTTAATACCCACTTTCTCAATCAGCAACTAATCAAGACTTTTTCAGCCAGGTGATTTGACTGTTGAGCCACATCAATGACAAGTAATTCAATGGAGCCAGCACGGGCTTTCTCTCAGGAGGGGACATTGTTACAGAACATTTAGACAGAAATATTTTGTGTAAAACAGGTGTGCCAGCCAATTGTATCAGAAAATGGGCATGTTTTGTTTTTGAATATCAACAACAATGGCAGGGATTGAGCCACTAAATCACTTGGTTTGAGTTATTTAAAGTGTGTGTGTGTGTGTTTGCTCATGCGGTCGAGTCTGTGTGTCTTTGTCTACATGTGAGTGTATTTCTGCAGCTCAGGTAACTCACGGGCATAGTAGGCGTGTGTGTCCTCCATATTGGACTTTTCGCGGAAGCTGGCCAGCCCGTAGTCAGTGATCTTCAGAACAAAGCGACTGTCCACCACACAGTTTGAGGACTTCAGGTTACCATGGGAGACGATGACGCTGTTGTGAAGGAAGGCCATCCCCTAGAATCAAAGATGGTGTGATTCACAAGAAATCCAACCAGTGGGCGACCCTGTGTAAAATGTTACCCCCACAGTTCCATGCAGAGGGGCGGGAACTGTCACACATGCTTTTAGCCAACAAAATTGCATTTGCTGAACAACCTATGCATTGCAAGTCAATAACCAAAAATGGTGTACCCTCCCATTAACTTCCATTGAAAATATGCATAACTTCCTTTGCAAAGACTCACACTTCCTGTGGACAGACAAAAGTGCGGAGCTAGCCTTCTTACAACAGCTATCTCTGCTAGAATGTACATTGAGGGGCATTAAATCGAAGCCAACTCAGGTAAAAGGCATGACTTCTTCATTCATTATTCTAACCAGGAAACCAGGAGGTGTCAGACACCATCTGTCTACCCTTCATTATAAGCATCACGAGGCAATATACCTGACGGGTTGGTTGGATCTGGTGTAATCCCAAACATCTTGTTGAAAATATATGACACAAATCTAGTGTAAGAGAATTTAATAAAGAGTGAGTGAGAGGTAACATGCTTGGCAATACTTTTTGTATTGACAATTTTAAAAAAACAGTAGAAGTATGATAGAATAAATATTATTTGAATATTTTCTACCTCTCCCTTAGCAAAAAGTTAGCCCCCATAATGTGAAAATAACATTAAGTACCAGTTTAGTGGTTTCGGGCATTCAGCACATACAGTACATATATTATGCTTGTGACCCCGTTGGTTTAGAATCCTGGACCCATCGCTACCTTTTCATAAACCCCTTCCTCACTTTCCTCCTATACTGGCCTATATCTTTGTTTCAAATCTTTGAATGGAGGATGAAGACGCACCTTAACAATGTCGTTGATGAGAGAGTATCTGAACATCCAGTCCAAGGTGATGCTCTCGCTCTCCATAAGATCCTGCACAACACATTAACATAAACATGACTATTTACACACACACACACACACACACACACACACACACACACACTCTAAATATGTTTCAAATCAGCCATACATGAAAGTCACCCACAGGTTAATCCCAGTCCACAATGCTAACATCATAATATGCATGACATGTCATATTCCATTCACACAGGCTGTCGGTATTCAACACTGTAGCCTAGAGGGTAAACCAACCATCTCAGGACCCAAGGGTAGCTACTGTTCATGACTTATTCATTGTGTGAATGTGTGACGTGGGAGATAAGAGACCAATAGGGGTTTTAGTTAACAACGCTAAGGTTATAAGGTTATAAAGGTTATAGAATAGAATGGAACAATGAGATCCAATAGGTTGTGAAGTACCTGCAGGCTGCCCCGGGGGCAGTACTCTGTGATAATACAGATGTTGGGAGGATCGATACAGGCTCCGATAAAGCGAGTCAGGTGCTCGTTTTGAACATCACGCATCTGGAGGCAAGAAGATTAACATTGATACCAACATACTTGCAACTGCATACAAAAGCATTTACACCTGAGCAAAGTATACACCTTAGAACATAATAAGTATAAGAAATACTAGATAGGACATTGTTGCTCTGGCAACATGTTTGCAAGCCTATTGAATAAAACCCTCACATGTTTGAGCTCAAAAAGCACCATCCTGGTGAGCTCGATGCGCTTCTTGTTAGTGACGTACTTAATGGCCACAATGTTTCCCTGGAAAGGAGAACACGTTAATTAACACAATATTTCACCATGGTTTTACTATCTGTGTCCTTCAGTAATATGGGGTGACCTATTTATTTTAAAGTATTGTAAAATGAGTGTAATCCACTTGTAATTCCTACTCCAAAGATGCAAACTATGCAAATGCCCACGTGAACCCTATCAGAATCCTGGTATGAACACTTATCACTGGCAAATATTGGGTCCCACTTTAAACGAAGTAAAACTTATAAAGACTTCATATAGCATGCATAAAGGCGTCATAAGCTCTACATATATGCTTCACAAATAATCTGTAAGAGTATATCATACACTGTAAATGGCTTATAAAGGGTGACATAACTATTCCTACTGTAGAGCAAATGTGACATAACACACTATGTATGTTTATACACTGTTTATAGCAGGGGTTCTCAAAGTGGGGTCCAGGTACCGCAGGGGGTCCGTGGATATTTTTTAAAATTAATATTACTAACAACAACAGATTAAACGAATTTTGGCAAAGGGATCCATGGAATACGTTTAGAGGGTGCAATACAATACAATGTAATATTTTAATCTACAATGTATGTTCTTAACCCTGGGCAACATGGGCCTGGGAGGCTCACAGGGTTATTGGTATCCACAGTACTCCACCAATTATAATTTTTTTAACTCAGTGCTTCTTGTATTCCTCAAAAATGTTTTTAAAACCATAAATGCACTGTAATTTAAGCTTCAAAACTGTAAAGTTGTATCTCTGCCTCATGGCAAAATATGTGGAATTGCAGGATATTAGCTTTAAAACTGCAACAACAAAAAAATCTCTCAGCCCCATGACAAAATGTGTAGAATTGCAGGAAATTAGCTTGAAAACTGCAACATTTTCTCTCAGATGCTTAGAAGTGGGCCTTTAAAATGTTCCTGCCCAGGGCCAGAGACTCGGTTCGTCTGGGCATGTACGGCCAAAGTCATAATCATACTCCTTCTATGATATTATTATCTCACTGTTGTGTTCTGATTATGAGGGGTCTCTGATGAATTTGCTATCATAAAAGGGGTCAAAAGAGCGCCAAAAGAGTTTGAGAACCCCTGATTTATAGAGTATGACAAACGCTTATAGATGATTTGTGAAGCATTTATGTACTGCTTATGAAGCCTTTATGTATGCTACATAAAGCCTATATAAGTTGTACTTCATTTAAACCGGGACCAACTATTGTAGGTAGCACTACACAAATCCTTAATAAAGCAAACATCATTAGCATTGCCAGTGTATTACAACAATCCCTGTGTAAAAGAACAGACCTTGTAGTAGCCAGTTTTGGCATAGATCTGGAAGTTTCCTTCCATGGTTAGGAGGGAGCCATAGTTTGAGCCTCTCTGTGGACCATATAGAGAGGGAATGAGAACAGCGTGCTTTTTCAACACAATGTGTTTCTCTGTTTGAGTGTGTGTAGGTGTACTGTATTTCATGTCTTTATATATTGGTATGTTTGTATTTATCCATGCAGTACCAGAGACAGGGTGAGTCTGCTGCAGGCCCTGCGCAGCACTTTCTCCAGGTTGCTCATCTGCACGTCCTCCCACTGCACCCGCCAGAGCTGAGCAGCCAACTCATTCTCCAACTTCAGCTTCCTGATGGACAGAGTGTGGGGGGGGGGGAGTGAGAGAGGGACAAACAGAGAGAGAAGGGGGAGGGTGAGAGAAGGGGACACCAAAGGGTGATGGAGAGAGGAGGCTTGGGAGAGGTTCAGAGATAGAGAGAGAGAGAGAGAGAGAGAGAGAGAGAGAGAGAGAGAGAGAGAGAGAGAGAGAGAGAGAGAGAGAGAGAGAGAGAGAGAGAGAGAGAAGGAGAAACAGTTAGGAGAGAGTAGAGAAAGGAGGTGAGGATAGTGGAAGACAAAAGTGTGTGAGGGCGACGGAGAAAGAGAAATCAATAAAGAGAAAGAGAGAATGAGAATCCAGAATAAAGGACAGAGAGATTAAGGAGAGGGATGGATGTGTTTCAGTGTGAGTGTACACTGTGTAGGACTGCACCTCTACCCACACAGGCCATCAACACTCCAAAATGAGTACTTCGGTCACCCGCCACCCACTACAAACTACAAACTGTATTCACACACACATTTCTCAGAAACAAATGCAACCCAACTATAGCATTGGGGATGGGATTAATTCATTTGGATAGAGATTAATATCTGAGCCCTATTATAGTGAGTGACCTGATTGGAGTGTCAACCCTCAATTTGTGATTACAACTTAACCAAGTCATTATCCACCAACAGTGCTGTATGTGTGAAGTTGTTTAGACGTGTACCTTGATATCATAGGCGTCTGGTGGCACCTTAATTGGGGAGGACGGGCTCATACTAATGGCTGGGACGGAATTAATGGAATGGTATCAAACATGTCACACGTGGTTTCCATGGTTTCCATGTGTTCGATACTATTCCCTTCACTCCATTCCAGCCATTATTATGAGCTGTCCTCCCCTCAGCAGCCTCCTGTGCTTGATCTAACATTCTTTACTGTAATGGAACATTATGTAAGAAAAGGTCAAAAAGCCACTATTCATGTGTAGTAATAACCCATTTATGTTGTTGTTTTTTAAATCTATGAACATACAAACACATCATACAGTAGATTCAATTTACTTTACACAATCCATTTACAGATACACTTCACATATGCTAAGTAATCAATAGATTAAGTAATTCATATAGTAAGCACTTATTTTACAAGAATATGAAAATAAACATTCATAAATGTATCAGCCAACGGCTATGTGCTATTCAAATGTACTACACATTGCTGTATTTTATACAATGTGAAATAAATGTGCAAAAAGGGTCTGTGTAATTTTACAGCACATCACAACTGTTAAAGGGATTGTTGCAAGCAATGAGGCCCTTTTTCTACTTCCCCAGAGTCAGATGAACTCGTGGATAAAATGTGTATGTCTCTGTGTCCAGTAAGAAGGAAGTTAGAGGTAGTTTTGTGAGCCAATGCTAACTAGCATACCCATAGCACGCTAGCAGATACCCATAGACTTCCAGTCGTTGCGCTAATGCTAGTTAGCAACTTCCTTCAAACTGCACGCAGAGACATAAAAATGGTATCAACAAGTTCATCAGACTCTGGGGAAGTAGATAAGGGCATCACCGGAAAAAATCTGAAGTATCCCTTTAATAAAATGTGAAATATCGGAAATATCAGACAAAAGTAAAGATACAGGATAGCTTATATCAAGCACAAAGTGACTTAAGCATAATTATTGGCAAGAATATGGAACTGAACTTGAACTGTTTCACTTTTCACCTATCAAAGTTACCTTAACTCTCTAGAAAACGTAAAAACATATTGCTTTTTTATCAAATCAAATTTTATTTGTCACATGCGCCGAATACAACAGGTGTAGACATTACCGTGAAATGCTTACTTACAGCCCTTAACCAACAATGCATTTATTTCTTAATAAAAAAGTAAAATAAAACAACAACAACAAAAAAGTGTTGAGAAAAAAAGAGCAGAAGTAAAATAAAATAACAGTAGGGAGGCTATATACAGGGGGGTACTGGTGCAGAGTCAATGTGCGGGGGCACCGGCTAGTTGAGGAAGTTGAGGTAATATGTACATGTGGGTAGAGTTAAAGTGACTATGCATAAAATAATTAACAGAGTAGCAGCAGCGTTAAAAAGATGGGGTGGGGGTGCAAATAGTCCGGGTAGCCATGATTAGCTGTTCAGGAGTCTTATGGCCTGGGGGTAGAAGCTGTTGAGAAGCCTTTTGGACCTAGACTTGGCGCTCCGGTACCGCTTACCGTGCGGTAGCAGAGAGAACAGTGTATGACTAGGGTGGCTGGAGTCTTTGACAATTTTGAGGGCCTTCCTCTGACACCGCCTGGTATAGAGGTCCTGGATGGCAGGAAGCTTGGCCCCAGTGATGTACTGGGCTGTACGCACTACCCTCTGTAGTGCCTTGCGGTGGATGGTGCAGCTGTATAACTTTTTGAGGATCTGAGGACCCATGCCAAACCTTTTCAGTCTCCTGAGGGGGAATAGGCTTTGTCGTGCCCTCTTCACGACTGTCTTGGTTGTGTTTGGACCATTACCACCTGGGGGCAGCGTGTCAGGAAGTCCAGGATCCAGTTGCAGAGGGAGGTGTTTAGTCCCAGGATCCTTAGCTTAGTGATGAGCTTTGAGGGTACTATGGTGTTGAACGCTGAGCTGTAGTCAATGAATAGCATTCTCACGTAGGTGTTCCTCTTGTCCAGGTGGGAAAGGGCAATGTGGAGTGCAATAGAGATTGCATCATCTGTGGATCTGTTGGGGCGGTATGCAAATTGGAGTGGGTCTAGGGTTTCTGGGATAATGGTGTTGATGTGAGCCATGACCAGCCTTTCAAAGCACTTCATGGCTACAGACGTCAGTGCTACGGGTCGGTAGTCATTTAGGCAGGTTATCTTAGTGTCCTTGGGCACAGGGACTATGGTGGTCTGCTTGAAACATGTTGGTATTACAGACTCAGTCAGGGACATTTTGAAAATGTTGGTGAAGACACTTGCCAGTTGGTCAGCACATGCTCGCAGTACACGTCCTGGTAATCCGTCTGGCCCTGCGGCCTTGTGAATGTTGACCTGCTTAAAAGTCTTACTCACATCGGCTACGGAGAGCGTGATCACATAGTCATCTGGAACAGCTGGTGCTCTCATGCATGCTTCAGTGTTGCTTGCCTCGAAGCGAGCATAGAAGTGATTTAGCTCGTCTGGTAGGCTTGTGTCACTGGGCAGCTCGTGGCTGTGCTTCCCTTTGTAGTCTGTAATAGTTTTCAAGCCCTGCCACATCCGACGAGCGTCAGAGCCGGTGCAGTACGATTCAATCTTAGTCCTGTATTGACTCTTTGCCAGTTTGATGGTTCGTCGGAGGGCATAGCGGGATTTCTTATAAGCGTCCTGGTTAGAGTCCCGCTCCTTGAAAGCGCCAGCTCTACCCTTTAGCTCAGTGCGGATGTTGCCTGTAATCCATGGCTTCTGGTTGGGGTATGTACGTACGGTCACTGTGGGGACGACGTCATCGATGCACTTATTGATGAAGCCAGTGACTGATGTGGTGTACTCCTCAATGCTATCTGAAGAATCCCGGAACGTGTTCCAGTCTGTGCTAGCAAAACAGTCCTGTAGCTTAGCATCTGCGTCATCTGACCACTTTTTTATTAACCGAGTCACTGGTGCTTCCTGCTTTAGTTTTTGCTTATAAGCAGGAATCAGAAGGATAGAGTTATGGTCAGATTTGCCAAATGGAGGGCGAGGGAGAGCTTTGTACGCGTCTCTGTGTGTTGAGTAAAGGTGGTCTAGAGTTTTTTTCTCCTCTGGTTGCACATTTAACATGCTGGTAGAAATTAGGTAGAACGGATTAAAGTTTCCCTGCATTAAAGTCCCCGGCCACTAGGAGCGCTGCCTCTGGATGAGCGTTTTCCTGTTTAGTTATGGCCTTATACAGCTCATTGAGTGCAATCTTAATGCCAGCATTGGTTTGTGGTGGTAAATAGACAGCTATGAAAAATATAGATGAAAACTCTCTTGGTAAATAGTGTGGTCTACAGCTTATCATAAGGTACTATACCTCAGGCGAGCAAAACCTAGAGACTTCCTTAGTATTTGATTTTGTGCACCAGCTGTTGTTTACAAATTTACACAGACGGCCACCCCTTGTCTTACCGGAGTCAGCCGTTCTATCCTGCTAATGTAGTGTATAGCCCGCTAGCTGTATGTTGTCCATGTCGTTGTTCAGCCACGACTCGGTGAAACATAAGATATTACAGTTTTTAATGTCCCGTTGGTAGGATAAGCATAATCATAGGTCATCTAATTTATTTTTCAATGATTGAAGATTGGCTAATAGGATTGATGGAAGAGGCAGTTTACTCGCTCGCCGTTGGATCCTTACGAGGCACCCCGACCTACGTCCACGATATCTCTGTCTCTTTATCCTGCGAATGACGGGGATTTGGGCCTTGTCGGGTGTCTGTAGGATATCCTTCGCGGCCGCCTCGTTGAAGAAAAAATCTTCGTCCAATACGAGGTGAGTAATCGCTGTCCTGATATCCAGAAGCTCTTTTTGGTTATAAGAGACGATGGCAGAAACATTATGTACAGAATAAATTACAAATAACGCGAAAAAACACACATAATAGTACAATTGGTTAGAGGGCTGTAAAACGGCAGCCATCTTCTCCGGCGCCATCGTCACGTATATATATATATATATATTTGATACGAGACATAATATACTTTGACCTTAAGCCTGATATTCCTACAGGGGGAAAAAATAAGTAAGGTATACGTTCACCTGGACTTGCACTCAATGTTCAACAATTTTATCACAAGACATGACAAGCTATAAAGCAAATGACCTTTTCAGCTGCAAGTCTGATGGAGCTGGATACAAGCCAGAGAGAAGGGTCAAAGGGCAAACACGGGGCTGGGGGTGAGTTATCACTGGGTCGTGTTCATTAGCGCACACAACGGTAAATATACAAAAATGCTTTCAATGGAAAATGAAAATGAACGTTTTTGATTAAACAGGTCCAGGTAGTCCCTCACTGTTTCAGTCTGTATATTTCTGAGTGGTGCCTAATGAACATGACCCTGGTGGTGAGTCATCACTGAAGAGGAGACAGAAACACGTTTATTCGTTCCTTCTTGGTCTGGCAGTGATCTCCCTGTAACGTGTAAAGAAAGAGGAAGGAAAAAGAGGAAGAAAGACAGTGAAAAGAGGAGAGTAAAGTGAAGAGGACAGGAGAAAGATAGACAGAGTAACAATGTGGGTAAGAAAGTTAAACATGGAGGCAAAAAACATACCATGATTGTAGAGATTAAAGGTAGAAAATCAAACAGAAGAGAAAGAGATGGGGGGGGGGGGGGGGATAAAATAGAGAAAATGAAAGAAGAGCAGAGTATGGGAAGAGAGTGAACAGAAAGGCAAGAGCGATAGAGGATGGGTGGAGGAGGGGTCGGGAGTGGAGAGGTGGCATCAGAACCCATAACCATTGACTAGTGTCTTCCTCGGGGAAGGGGTACGGTAAAAAAGGGGGCACCACTGACCTGTAGATGAAGACGGTGACGGTGACGATGATGATGAAAATGAAGCACAAAATGATGGCGACCATCTGGTGCATTGTGACCGTCCCTGGGAGGAAAGGAAATACCATGTCATAGCATGTGTAGCCTACACCCTGAAATGGCATGGTTTTGTTGATATAGCTATTATATTTTTACATTTTAGTCATATAGCAGACACTTATCCCTAGCCACTTATAGTATGTGCATTCAGCTAAGGTAGGTAAAAATAACCAAGTAATATACAGTACCAGTCAAAAGTTTGGACACCTACATATTTAAGGGTTTTTCTTTATTTTTTAAAACTATTTTCTACATTGTAGAATAATAGTGAAGACATCAAAACTATGAAATAACACATATGGAATCATGTAGTAACCAAAAAATTGTTCAACATATCAACATATATTTATATTTGAGATTCTTCAAATAGCCATCCTTTGTCATGATGACAGCTTTGCACACTCTTGGCATTCTCTCAACCAGCTTCACCTGCAATGCTTTTCCAACAGTCTTGAAGGAGTTCCCACATATGCTTAGAACTTGTTGGCTGCTTTTCCTTCACTCTGCCGTCCGACTCATCCCAAACCATCTCAATTTGGTTGAGGTCGGGGGATTATTGTGACACTCTGGCTCCATGGACTTTGATATTTGAGCCAGGGTTGTTCATTTTCATTTGTTTGGGTGTATTTCTATGTTGGGGTGTCTAGGTTGTTCATTTCTATGTTGGGTGATTGTGTTTGATTAGTCATATGACTCCCAATCGGAGGTAACGAGTGTCAGCTGTTCGGCTCGTTATCTCTGATTGGGAGCCATATTTAAACTGTGTGGTTTCTCCTTGGTTTGTGGGTTTTTGTTCCATGTTTCTGTCAGTGTTACAGAGGACTTCACTATCGTCATTTGTTGTTTTTCGTGGTTGCTTTATTAAATAAAGTCATCATGTTCACTCCACGCGCTGCGTATTGGTCCGCTTCTTCAGACGATCGTGACAGAAAAACCCACCATAGAAGGACCAAGCAGCGTGTCCAGGAGCAAGACAGCTGGACATGGGAGGAAGCGCCTGGGAAGGAGATCGAGAGGCTGGCGATGGCCCAGGTGGGCAAATCGTGGTCCTGGGAGGACATGCTCGGGGGCAAGGGACCTTGGGGGAAGATCAAGGCCCTGGCGAGAGAGGAGCAACGGCGTCAGCAGGGCCATCATCGTTGGAAGGACGAGAGGCAACCCCAAAAAGTTTTTTGGGGGGGGCACATGGCTTGGGCGACTGAGCAGCAGGAGGCTGCCACAAGGCAGATTCAGAAGGCTACCAGGTTAAGGGGGCTGACGGAGGCAGAGAAGGGACGGATTCAGGAGGCTACCAGGTTAAGGGGGTCACTGGCCAAAGTAGGGAAAGGAGATGTAGAGGCACGGCGTGAGAGACTGAGGTGTGTATCCAGTCCGGTCCGGCCCGTTCCTAATCCCGAGGTACAGCCAGTAGTGTGTGTCCCCAGTACGGTACGGCCTGTTCCGGCCCCTCGCACTAAGTGTACGGTGCGCGTCGCCAGCCCAGCCCGGCCTGTTCCTGAGCCTCATACGAAGCCTACGGTGCGCGTCGCCAGCCCAGCCCGGCCTGTTCCGGCCACTCGCACCAGGGATACGGTGCGCTTCGCCAGCCCGGCCCGGCCTGTTCCGGCCACTCGCACCAGGGATACGGTGCGCGTCGCCAGCTCAGCCCGGCCTGTTCCTACTCCACGCACCAGGGATACGGTGCGTCCCCAGGGCCAAGCATGCCCTGTTGCTTCTCCCCGCACTAGCCCTGAGATGCGTGTCCTCAGCCCGGTACCTCCAGTTCCGGCACCACGCATCAGGCCTACGGTGCGTCCCCAGGGTCAAGCATGCCCTGTTGCTTCTCCCCGCACTAGCCCTGAGATGCGTGTCCTCAGCCCGGTACCTCCAGTTCCGGCACCACGCACCAGGCCTACGGTGCGCCTCAGACGGCCAGAGTCTGCCGTCTGCCCAACGGGGCCTGAACTGTCCGTCTGCCCAACGCCGTCTGAACTGCCCGTCTGCCCAACGGCGCCTGAACTGTCCGTCTGCCCAACGCCGTCTGAACTGCCCGTCTGCCCAACGGCGCCTGAACTGCCCGTCTGCCCAACGCCGTCTGAACTGTCCGTCTGCCCAACGCCGTCTGAACTGCCCGTCTGTACTGAGCCTGCAAAGCCGCCCGTCTGCCATGAGCCTTCAGAGCCGTCCGCCAGACCGGAGCCGCTAGAGCTCTCCGCCAGACAGGATCAGCCAGAGCCTTCCGCCAGACAGGATCAGCCAGAGCCTTCCGCCAGACAGGATCAGCCAGAGCCTTCCGCCAGACAGGCTCAGCCAGAGCCTTCCGCCAGACAGGATCAGCCAGAGCCTTCCGCCAGCCATGAGCAGCCAGATCCGTCAGCCAGCCATGAACAGCCAGATCCGTCAGCCAGCCATGAGCAGCCAGATCCGTCAGCCAGCCATGAGCAGCCAGATCCGTCAGCCAGCCATGAGCCGTCCAGCCAGGATCCGCCAGAGCCGTCCAGCCAGGATCCGCCAGAGCCGTCCAGCCAGGATCCGCCAGAGCCGTCCAGCCCGGATCCGCCAGCCAGCCAGGATCCGCCAGAGCCAGCCAGCCAGGATCCGCCATTCAGTCCGGAGCTGCCCCTCAGTCCGGTGCTGCCCCTTAGTCAGGTACTGTCCCTTAGCCCGGTGCTGCCCCTTAGTCCGGTGCTGCCCCTTAGCCCGGTGCTGCCCCTTATCCCGGTGCTGCCCCTTAGTCCGGTGCTGCCCCTTAGTCCGGTGTTGCCCCTTAGTCCAGGTGGGGTTAGTTGGAGGGTGGTCATTGGGAGGAGGCTACTGAAGCAGGTTGTGACTGTGGTGGGGTGGGGATCACGACCGGGGCCAGAGCCGCCACCGTGGACAGACGCCCACCCAGACCCTCCCCTAGTCCTTATGTTGGTGCGCCCGGAGTTCGCACCTTTAGGGGGGGGGTACTGTGACACTCTGGCTCCATGGACTTTGATATTTGAGCCAGGGTTGTTCATTTTCATTTGTTTGGGTGTATTTCTATGTTGGGGTGTCTAGGTTGTTCATTTCTATGTTGGGTGATTGTGTTTGATTAGTCATATGACTCCCAATCGGAGGTAACGAGTGTCAGCTGTTCGGCTCGTTATCTCTGATTGGGAGCCATATTTAAACTGTGTGGTTTCTCCTTGGTTTGTGGGTTTTTGTTCCATGTTTCTGTCAGTGTTACAGAGGACTTCACTATCGTCATTTGTTGTTTTTCGTGGTTGCTTTATTAAATAAAGTCATCATGTTCACTCCACGCGCTGCGTATTGGTCCGCTTCTTCAGACGATCGTGACAATTATAGAGGCCAGGTCACCTGATGTAGCACTCCATCACTCTCCTTCTTGGTAAAATAGCCCTTACACAACCTGGAGGTGTATTGGGTCATTGTCCTGTTGAAAAACAAATGATAGTCCCACTAAGCCCAAACCAGATGGGATGGCGTATTGCTGCAGAATGCTGTGGTAGCCATGCTGGTTATGTGTGCCTTGAATTCTAAATAAATCACTGACAGTGCCACCAGCAAAGCACCCCCACACCATAACACCTCCTCCTCCATGCTTTACAGTGGGAACTACACATGCAGAGATCATCCGTTCACCCACACCGCGTCTCACAAAGACACGGCGGTTGGAACCAAAAATCTCCAATTTGGACTCCAGACCAAAGTACACGTTTCCACCGATCTAATGTCCATTGCTCGTGTTTCTTGGCCCAAGCAGGTCTCTTCTTATTATTGGTGTCCTTTAATAGTGGTTTCTTTGCAGCAATTCGACCATGAAGGTCTGATTCACACAGTCCCCTCTGAACAGTGGATGTTGAGATGTGTCTGTTACTTGAACTCTGTGAAGCATTTATTTGGCCTGCAATTTCTGAGGCAGGTAACTCTAATGAACTTATCCTCTGCAGCAGAGGTAACTCTGTGGTGGTCCTCATGAGAGCCAGTTTCATCATAGCGCTTGATGGTTTTTGCGACTAAATTTGAAGAAACTTTCAAAGTGCTTGAAGTTTTCCATATTGACTGACCTCCCCCCCCCCCCCCCCCCCCCCCCCACACACACACACCTTGTCACAACACAATTGATTGGCTCAAACACATTAAAAAGGAAAGAAATTCCACAAATTAACTTTTAAGAAGGCACACCTGTTAATTGAAATGCATTCCAGGTGACTACCTCATGAAGCTGGTTGAGAGAATGCCAAGAGTGTGCAAAGCTGTTATCAAGGCAAATGGTGGCTATTTGAAGAATCTCAAATATAAAATATATTTTGATTTGTTTAACACTTTTTTGGTTACTACATGATTCCACCTGTGTTATTTAATAGTTTTGATATCTTCACTATTATTCTACAATGTAAAAAAAAATGAAAACAAAGAAGAACCCATGAATGAGTAGGGGTGTCCAAACTTTTGACTGGTAGTGTAAGTTGCTAAATCAACTAAATACATCAATTTAATGTAGCCATCACAATAAAATCCATTATTTAATTAGTCGTGATAGGCTTATAAACCTGGGAATGTCTTAGAAATCAAAACATAAGGGCTGCATGACCCTTGTAAGGAGCCGACGGCGAGAGCGTAATCCGCCTCTACCATCAGTCCTATTAGCCAACGTACAATCATTGGATAACAAAATAGACAAACGGATATCCTACCAACGGGACATTAAAAACTGTAATATCTTATGTTTCACCGTGTCTTGGCTGAACGACGACATGGATAACATACAACTGGCGGGATATACGCTGCATCAGTAAGATAGAACAGCTGCCTCCGGTAAGACAGGGGGTGGCGGTCTGTGTATATTTATAAACAACAGCTGGTGGACAAAATCTAGTATTAAGGTAGTCTAGAGGTTTTGCTCGCCTGAGGTATAGTACCTTATGATAAGCTGTGTGAGCTTATGAATGCTATTCCTTGACTCCAGATCAGCGTTCAACAACATAGTGCCCACAAAGCTCATCACTAAGCTAAGGACCCTGGGACTAAACACCTCCCTCTGCAACTGGATCCTGGACTTCCTGACGGGCCGCCCCCAGGTGGTAATGGTGGGTAACAACACATCTGCCACGCTGATCCTCAACACGGGGGCCCCTCAGGGATGCGTGCTCAGTCCCCTCCTGTACTCCCACTTCACCCATGACTGCATGGCCAGGCATGACTCCAAAACCATCATTAAGTTTGCCGACGACACAACAGTGGTAGGCCTGATCACCGACAACGATGAGACAGGCTATAGGGAGGAGGTCAGAGACCTGGCCGTGTGGTGCCAGGATAACAACCTCTCCCTCAACGTGATCAAGACAAAGGAGATGATTGTAGACTACAGGAAAAAGAAGAGGACCGAGCACGCCCCCATTCTCATCGACGGGGCTGTAGTGGAGCAGGTTGGGAGCTTCAAGTTCCTTGGTGTCCACATCACCAACAAACTATCATGGTCCAAACACACCAACAAAGTCGTGAAGAGGGCACGACAAAGCCTATTCCCCCTCAGGAGACTGAAAAGATTTGGCATGGGTCCTCAGATCCTCAAAAAGTTATACAGCTGCACCATCGAGAGCATCCTGACTGGTTGTATCATTGCCTGGTATGGCAACTGCTCGGCCTCTGACCGCAAGGCACTACAGAGGGTAGTGCGTACGGCCCAGTACATCACTGGGGCCAAGCTTCCTGCCATCCAGGACCTCTATACCAGGCAGTGTCAGAGGAAGGCCCTCAAAATTGTCAAAGACTCCAGCCACCCTAGTCATAGACTGTTCTCTCTGCTACCGCACGGCAAGTGGTACCAAGTCTAGGTCCAAAAGGCTTCTTAACAGATTATACCCCCAAGCCATAAGACTCCTGAACAGCTAATCAAATGGCTACCCGGACTATTTGCATTGTCAATAGTACTGTTTGGCCATTTTGAGACGCCGTAGCCAGCATACACTTCCTCAAAATAGTCAGAATTAATCTAAGATAACTGAAGAAATCTGTCATTAATTTTGACGTAAAAATCCTTACCAAAGTCCAAAACGAACAAAAACGTCACAAAATGTCATCATAATATATGCACAAACTCTTCCAAACTGTTTCGGCTGGGAAGCATGCGGATGCCCTAACTCCCATCACTATTTGTCCTCATCATTCAGATTGTTCAAATTCAATCATGATGTGTTTAGAGTGATTATAGGGAAAATAGAGCGCTGAGTACCAGGTCATTAGCAAAGGCCATTAGCAAGTTTGGTAGGCTACCCATCAGCACCATTCATTTGCGCAGTTTTGGATTGAGATTACTGTGATCAACGGTCACAGGGAATTTGACTCCTATCATGACAGCCGGTGCGGCGGTAATACGGTCACCGCAACAGCCCTAATTATGAGCAGCACGAAATTAAAATGTTTCTCTCTCAATGTTCGTAAAATCTCCAGTGGGTTTTGTTTATTCATATTGCAAATATACAAAATGTTATGTTGATAAATAAGGCCCCAGGGGTTCTTCAGTGCATACGTGCTAAGCAGGCGGGCTTGTCGTTCTTGAAGCCACAGTCGGGGATGTCTTGGGGGGGGGCGCCCCCCGACCACTGGACCTTCATGCCCGGCACTGGAACCAGCTCCTTCAGGGTGCTGTTGTAGACGGACACGATCTGGAGACACACAGGATAGATTGTTAGCCAAATCTTAATGTAACAAAAGTACTGTAACTTTGGGTGTTGAACGAAAGTGCCTTGTCATTGTAGCTTTTATAGCTGCTACACTGGAAGAGGACAAAGAACACAGCTACAGAGTGAGTGTGTATTTATGTACCGGTGTGTGTTTGTGTGTAACCACCACTTTGTTAGAGGAGCAGTCAGTGCCTACCTGAAAGACCCCAGAGTCAAGATCGGTCATGTCCCACAAGGCAAAGTCAATCTCCCGATCGCCTTCTCCATCTATCTGAACCAAGCCAGTAACACCTGCCACAGAAGAGAGGAGGGAGATATATATATATATATATATATATATATATATATATATATATAGAGAGAGAGAGAGAGAGAGAGAGAGAGAGAGAGAGAGAGAGAACAGAGAGATTAACACAAAGGATTCAGGTGCACAATCTGGGCGCAAACTGTGCTATTTCCTCATTGCTTTCAAGATTCAGAGATGGGCCCTTTGTTCAAGCCTGTTGGTTGATTTTGTTGTCCTTTACAAAATAAATTAACAAACCATAGCCAGCTGTGTCTATATAGTGTATACTGTTGCCAGTCACTGTGTGTTGCTATATCCTGTCCCCCGCAATAAAACAAACCAACAGGCTTAAGCAAATTAGCCTTGCCAAGTCACAAGTACAGATGTAGGATCTTAATTTGAACCAGTTTGCTACAAAAATGATCCTGCAGCAACAGGAAATGTGAATTATTATGTGGATTATAAATTATGGACATTTTTGAAGGGGTTGATACATTTTTCGTACGGGAATATCAAACTTCAGAAGCCTTTTTAAACCTCAAATACACAACAAGTTTCAGATTTCCTGTATTGCAGGTGCAGGAAGTTCTCCTGCAACAGGATGATCAAATTAAGATCCTATATCTGTATGGGGTTAACCCAATAGAGATATTTTAAACTGAGATATCCTTTATTTTATCTACTGTAGCTTAACACATCACACTGATATCTTCCCTTTCATCTTAGTTTCTCCTCTCACTGTGCAAGCTGGTAGCTAAGGCAAGCAGGTTTTGAGTCAAACCAATATTCAAAGGCATGACGATCGGGACCACTTGGTGGCAATGTCATTAAATAAATCTGTCTAGAGCTATTTCTTCCAAATATATCATGCTGGCAAAAGAGGGTGACATGATTGTGAAATATAGATACCGTACAATGTATTGTAAACCTCAAGTCAAAATTTGAGGTAAATTAGCAACTTAAATTCCTTCCGTACACCGTCTTTCATGTTGGGGTGGGGGTAATGGGAAATAGGAGCATAATGTGGTTAAGTCATCCATATGGCACATTTATCAAGCTCACTTTAAGACGGACATAGTTTTGAATATCAATAGGGTTTAGAGGAAACCAAGGAAAACATATGAGTTAATTCAAACTGATACCAACTATGCATGCCAGTCTCTCTTGGTTAAGAGTTAAGAGAGACTGACTGCATCACTTCTTATTTTTATAAGAAACATTAATGTGTTGAAAATCCCAAATTGTTTGCATAGTCAACTTACACACAGCTCTGACACACACACACTTACCCCACCAGACATGCCACCAGGGGTCTTTTCACAGGACCCAAATCCAGAACAAATTCAAGAAAGCGTACAGTATTATATAGAGCCATTATTGCATGCAACTCCATTCCATCTCATATTGCTCATGTGAACAGCAAACCTGGTTTCAAAAAACAAATAAAGCAACACCTCACGGCACAATGCCTCTCCCCTATTTGAGCTAGATAGTTTGTGTGTATGTATTGATATGTAGGCTACGTGTGCCTTTTGTAATTTTTTTATTTAGTTATGTAGTTCTGTCCTTGAGCTGTTGTCTATTAATGTTCTGTATTATGTAATGTTTCATGTTTTGTGTTGACCCCGGGAAGAGTAGATGCTGCTTTTGCAACAGCTAATGGGGATCCTAATAAAATACAAAATACCAAAATACCATCTCTTAGTTTGGCTGTTGGTCCTACAGTTGTGGGACCTACAAAGTGAGCTTGTCACAAAAAAACAAAAACAAAACCCTGTACTAGAAGATGTTATGGCACTGTGTTGCACACACACTGCAGCAATTGTTCTGCCAATAAAATGCTGTGAGCTGACTTTTAGTCCCCATCACCTGTATAACTTCACAGACACCTAGGCATTTCCCATACTTCACCTCTTAGGCTTATTTGATCAATGACAGAGACACACAGTGGATGGGAACTGAACCTGCAAACTCACGGTCAAAAGCCTGGCCTCCAAACCCAAACCTCCCACTTCTTCACCTCTTCAGACCACTGTGGTGGAAGAGTGTAGTAATACAGTTTTGAAAATAAGTTATATCTCTTTTGCCACTCTCAAATTCCTCTGTCTTCTTGAGTCAGAGTTTAACAGATTTTAATTGAGCCCGTAGAAATAGGTTCACTTTTTTATGTTTTATTTCGTATTTCTATGATTGAGTCTCTACCTTGCTCAACGTCATTAGAAATGAATCATTACGTAATCTCTTAATTTATTTTCTCTGTGTCCAACATGCTGCCTCCTACATGTTCTACTGGTCTGACCTCAGATCAGATATGTAAGGTATCATACAATGGCTGTCCTTGACCTGAGTTTATAAGGCTCATAGTTGACTGAGGTAGTACAGCTCACTGTACCAAACTACTGCTTATATACTAGAAGATCTCTAAGGTTAACAGGGTGAATCATGGATGGAATGTATTTATATAACACTCAAGGCCTAGGTCTCAAAGTACTTTACATTGTATGGGGGTTAATCATCATTTAATTAATCAACTTTCCTATTTCCAAAGGTATTCAGCACAGATGGCTATGGTTCTTTCAAAGCCGTCATCATTTCAACAGACACGGTCTGTTCTGACATACATATGACGGACTCCAAAGGACATAATGTACAGTAAACGCGTTCCCTAAAAAGGATGTAATTTGTTGCTACAGTACATGATGTCCGTCTATAAGTAATCATGATGATACTACCAATGTATGGCTTCTCAGTGTCAAACTATATAGAGCAGCTACCCAACTTCAAATCTACAGGACAGATATCCATCACTTGTAAATCTGACTAAAACCGGTTTGAATAGTTGTCAAATATATCCCTCCTCTCCCTGCCTTGAAGTAATTTTCACTAATCGTACACGACTGGAAAGGTGAAAGCAAGGGTTCCACTACCAAAAATGTCAGATCTAGGATTACTTCAAGGAAGGAAGAAAGGAAGGAGGCAGGGAAGGACTAAAGGAAGGAAGGAAGGAATAAAGGACTGAAGGAAGGAAGGAAGGAATAAAGGACTGAAGGAAGGAAGGAAGGAAGGAAGGAAGGAAGGACGGAAGGAAGGAAAGAAAGAAAGAAAGAAAGAAAGAAAGAAAGAAAGAAAGAAAGAAAAAAAGAAAGAAAGAAAGAAAGAAAGAAAGAAAGAATTTGAAAAGTATTCTAGCAGGGCCCTATGTCTAAATGTAAAAAATCAGCGCTCTTTCTTTCTCCACACAAAAGGGAATCATCTTTTGTCTCTATGCCAGGTGGTTAAACTGTCCTTGTTCTAAAATCTCCAGCTAATTAGCGTGGGAGTAAAAAGCACAGTGGCAGCAGCGCTCATCTCTGACAGTACTAATCGTGCTAGCCTGTGCTGACAGCTAGGCAGGCGAGCATGGGAGTGGTCGAGGGGTGCATTGAAAACAGAACTGTAATTAAAGCAAGTAAAGTGTGTGTGTTTGTTAGTGTGTGTGTGTGTGTGTGTGTGTGTGTGTGTGTGTGTGTGTGTGTGTGTGTGTGTAGAGAGAGAGGCGATAGAGAGGAAGAGGAGCAGATCTGATGTGTTTTCCCAGCTGTCAGACAGGCAGAGCCCAAGGGGTGGGCCGTGCACCACCACAGCGAAATAAAGAGAATTTGCATTTAACTGAATGATAACAGGGATGCTGCTTTTAATCAAAATGAATAAAGCTTTCTGGCTTCCAGTCTCATATGTTGAAACACACACACACACACATGTATGGAGTCATGTGCACGCACACACACACACACACACACACACACACACACACACACACACACACACACACACACACATCAACCCCTGATCCATTAGTCATTGTAATAGGAGCCCCTCTGTGTAGAAGCTGAAACTCAATGCTCTGCCCCTGACTCCTGGTGCCTGTGCTGCTCCATTGGCAGTATGAGTCCTGCCTGAACATTGTCATTCACTTCACAGGACCACTCTGCCTCATTCCCTCTCTGTTTTGCCAAAATTCTGTTTATTTTCATTTTTTTTGCTATGTACAGTCAGGTCTCTTTATTTTTTCAACTGTATTAGTATAAAATAATATAATTGAAAAACAAATCTGAGCATACAATATAGCTCAATATTTGTATTAATTATTTTATACAGTGTTTTTTTTTAATCAAGGGTGCCAATCATTTTTGACCTGACTGTATTTATAGTCCAGTATTAATGTTTTTTTCTCTCTCTCTTTTAATTCCCTTCATTATCTTCCTATGTCTGTGTCCTTCAATGTTTTTTTCATCTCTTTCACCTCTTCTCCTCCTCTCTGCTCCACTCCCCATCTTACTTATCCACTCTTTCTAAAACCACTCTTTCAACCTTTTATCTCTTCTCCTCTCTTTCCCTCTCTCCTTCTTTACACATCTCTCCTTTCACTCTATGTAACCACCTCAGTCCATCTCCCTACCATCTCCTCTCTCCATCTCTCCTCTTCACATCTCTTCCACTCTCGCTCCACACTTTCGTAACCTCCTCCTTCAATCTCTCCTTCTATCGGCCATCATTGTTAATAAGAATTTGTTCTTAACTGAATTGCCTAGTTAAATAAAGTTTTATTTTATTTTAAATAGCTCCCTCTCCTCCACCAATATGTCCCTTTGTGATGAGAGCAGAGCACTCTACCCATCTGTCACTCACTGCTCAGCTCAATGAAGAGGTGCCTGTTCTATGAAACCTCCATTAATGGAGTCCCTTTCAACGTAGGTCCCTCTTGTTAATATAGCTTATTCATGCCTTATTCATGTTTTATTCATGCCTTATTCATGTATTATAAATGATGAATAAATGGCAATGGAAGGTAAGTGAAGAGCTATGAGAAGAGGCTTGTGGAGTTCAGAGTGTGGGCTGTGGGAATAGGAGAGACCTAGCGATCCCACTCTCAGGTTGGGATTAGGAAAAGACGAAAGATGGGAATCACAAGAGAACAAAATCAACCTCCAGCCTCCATGTTCCCATGGAACCCCGCTGGGTAGACACCTTCCTATCTCTGCGACGATTGGTTCATGAGGCTTAATTGATGGAGTAAAGAGGGGAATTTATTGGTTAAGCGTCCTTCGCTACAGGAGTCTGTTGATATAGTTAGGCTGGTGGGTCCTGATTTCTGTCGATAGAGTTTAACTGATTACGTACAGATGTAGGACCTTAATTTGATCACTCTTTTGTTGCTGACAATTTTCCTACAAAAAAATGTCCATTAATTATAATCCACATAATAATTAACATTTCCTGTTGCTGCAGGATCATTTTCCTGCTGTAGAAAACAGGCTCAAATTAAGATCCTACATCTGTATGTGCTCAATCGATACAACTCCTCTGAAAATGTACATTCAGAATAATTCAAGGATGTGGTATTGTACAGTGATGCTAAATTGGGCACAATGTCGCTGGTGAATGCTATGCTGAGAATAGGCGTAATGTAAGGCAGAGTGGTTGTTTTTCAACTGATTTATTGACATTTTGTAATACTGGATGGTTCTTGGCACCCATTTAGCTGGGTTATATCATATCTTGAAAGAAGATAATGTCCTTGTTTTTCTCAAGGGCCCTGTGCTTTCAGAGTGTGTCATTATTTAACTGCTCATTGAAGTACAGAGGCCATGTAGCCACTATGTGCATCAGGTAAAGGTGTATTGTGAGCTTTGATATTGTACATGGTTATTTGGTTGGAATATATTACATGATACTATTAAACTTATTTAAGGTAATCATCCAAATAATTATTATCAGATAACTGGGATTGTGCCTTTCATTTCCAGTCTCGCCTATTATTGTCATTTTGGTTCAGTCATTGAGATTTCTCCACGTAGGTGATTCAAATGTTACTCCAAGATAGCGTAGCAGTGTGGTCGTGTTCTCTTGTGTGTCCATGTAAATAGCCTGTTTTTTGTATTTTTTTTTGTATTTTACGTATATATTTCCCTATTACACTTTTCATCCTTCTACTAAATATACTTTCCTGCAACCCACCTCACTCAATGCGGAACGGATTCTATTATTTACTCACCTTTATCTAGAATATCCAGTTGAAACTAGCCAGCCAGCTAACTAGCTAACTAGCTACTTGCTATTAGCCGCCGTTTAGCCGCCGTTTAGCGTTTTTCACCCAGAACATTGGATTTTCTGCCGGAAAAAACTGAATCACTGGACCATAACACCGGATCTAGCTAGCCACAACCGAATGGATGTCGAATGGATGTTGCTGTAGGCTAATCACCACTGCCCCCGTAGCACCAGTTAGCCTTGAGCTAGCCCCGGCTATCTACCTCTCTGTCTACCGGACGGGAGTAGCCAGCTAACCAGCTAACTAGCTACTTGCTATTAGCCACCGTTAGCAGCTTTTCTCTATTGTCCGTGGCCTGCACTACCTACCAGCCAGCTCTAGCCTGGACTATTATCGGCCAGTCTGCACTGTCTGCACAGCGAGTTATCGACCCAGAACCTATCGGATTTTCTGCCGGAATCACTGAATCACTGGACCATTAACACTGGATAATCGCAACTAGCTAGCTGCAACCAAATGAACGCTGTTGTTGGCTAATCAGCCTTGAGCTAGCCTTGAGTCAGGCACATCTCCCGGCTATCTACCTCTCTGTCAACCGGACGGGACCTCCTAGAGTCGACACGGAGCCCTGCCGATCCATCACGACTGGTCTGCCGACATAATCGTCTGTGGTTTCAACAGGCTTCCCGTTGCAATGACCACGAAGATCCATCTGCTAGCCCCGGCCCGCTAGCACACGCAAACTACAACCGTGCTTCCTGCTCGCTGTGCTGAAGCACCAATTTGAACTGCTCTCGGACTCACATATTGCTGTTCACTGGACCTTATGATCACTCAGCTGCACAGGTGATGCCTGCTGGACTGTTCCTTTACACGGTAGCCTGTCTTGTTTATTCTGTTTAGCCTCAGCCCAAACTTTATCGCCATTACCAGTTGTTGTCTTAGCTCTCTCTAATAACACCTGTGATTGCTTTATGCCTCTCTCCCATGTCAATATGCCTTGCCTATTGCTGTTCCAGTTAGTTCTTATTATACAATTTCACTGTAGAACCCCAAGTCCCTCTCAAACTGCCTCAAATAGTTCCTTTGTTCCACCCCCCATACACGCCGAGACCGGCTCAATCGGTGCCTTCAGTGATGCTATCTCTTTCATTGTTACCCAACGCTTAGGTTTACCTCCACTGTACTCATATCCTTCCATATCCTTGTCTGTACATAATGCCCTGAATCTTTTCTACAACGCCTGGAAATCTGCCCCCTTTATTCTCTGTACCCAACAAACTAGAAGACCAGTTCTTAAATCCTTATTCTAGTCCTCTTCTGTTCCTCTGGTGATGTAGAGGCTAACCCAGGCCCTGCAGCCCCCAGTATCACTCCTACTCCCCAGAAGCTATCATTTGTTGTAACCATAAAAGCCTTGGTTTTCTGCACGTTAATATCAGAAGCCTCCTTCCTAAATTTGAGTTATTCTGCGTTAGCACACTCCGCCAACCCTGATGTTCTAGCAGTGTCTGAATCCTGGTTTAGGAAGGCCACCAAAAATTCTGAAATTTCCATCCCCAACTACAACATTTTCCGTCTAGATAGAACTGCCAAAGGGGGTGGAGTTGCAATCTACTGTAGAGATAGCCTGCAGAGCTCTATCATACTATCCAGGTCTGTGCCCAAACAGTTTGAGCTTCTACTTCAAAAAATCCACCTTTCCAGAAATAAGTCTCTCACTGTTGCCGCTTGCTACAGACCCCCCTCAGCCCCCAGCTGTGCCCTGGACACCATATGTGAATTGATTGCCCCCCATTTATCCTCAGAGTTCATACTGCTTGGTGACCTAAATTGGGATATGCTTAACACCCCAGCCATCCTACAATCCAAACTAGATGCCCTCAATCTCACACAAATTATCAACGAACCTACCAGGTACAACCCTAAATCCGTAAACATGTGTACCTTCAAAGATATCATCCTGACCAACTTACCCTCTAAACACACGTCCGCTGTCTTCAACCAGGATCTCAGCAATCACTGCCTTATTGCCTGCGTCCGTAACGGGTCCGCGGTCAAACGACCACCCCTCATCACTGTCAAACGCTCCCTAAAACACTTTAGCGAGCATGCCTTCCTAATTGACCTGGCCCAGGTATCCTGGATGGATATAGATCTCATTCCGTCAGTAGAAGATGCCTGGTTGTTCTTTAAAAGTAATTTCCTCTCAATCTTAAATAAACATGCCCCATTCAAAAAATACAGAACTAAGAACAGATATAGCCCCTGGTTCTCCTCAGACTTGACTGCCCTTCACCAGCACAAAAACATCCTGTGGCATACTGCATTAGCATCAAATAGCCACTGCGATATGCAACTTTTCAGGGAAGTTAGGAACCAATATACACAAGCAGTTAGGAAAGCAAAGGCTAACTTTTTCAAACAGAAATGTGCATCCTGTAGCACTAACTCCAAAAAGTTTTGGGACACTGTAAAGTCCATGGAGAATAAGAGCACTTCCTCCCAGCTGCCCACTGCACTGAGGCTAAGAAACACTATCACCACCGATAAATCTACAATAATAGAGAATTTCAACAAGCATTTTGCTACGGCTGGCCATGCTTTCCACCTGGCTACCACTACCCCGGCCACCAGCTCTGCACCCTCCGCTGCAACTTGCCCATGCCCCCCCCCCACCGCTTCTCCTTCACACAAATTCAGACAGCTGATGTTCTGAAAGAGCTGCAAAATCGGGACCCCTACAAATCATCTGGGCTAGACAATCTGGACCCTTTCTTTCTAAAACTAGCCGCCGAAATTGTCGCAACCCCTATTACTAGCCTGTTCAACCTCTCTTTCGTAACGTCTGAGATCCCCAGAGATTGGAAAGCTGCCGCGGTCATCCCCCTCTTCATTTTACATTTTTACATTTTAGTCATTTAGCAGACGCTCTTATCCAGAGCGACTTACAGTTAGTGAACACATATATATATATATATATATATTTTTTTTTTATACTGGCCCCCCGTGGGAATCGAACCCACAACCCTGGCGTTGCAAACGCCATGCTCTATCAACTGAGCTACATCCCTGCCGGCCATTCCCTCCCCTACCCTGGACGACGCTGGGCCAATTGTGCGCCGCCCATGAGTCTCCCGGTCGCGGCCGGCTGCGACAGAGCCTGGATTCGAACCAGGATCTCTAGTGGCACAGTTAGCACTGCGATGCAGTGCCTTAGACCACTGCGCCACTCGGATTGACGAGTGGCGCAGTGGGGGTGACACTCTAGATCCAAAGGGGGTGACACTCTAGATCCAAACTGTTACAGACCTATATCCATCCTGCCCTGCCTTTCAAAAGTTTTTGAAAGCCAAGTTAACAAACAGATCACTGACCATTTCGAATCCCACCGTACCTTCTCCGCTATGCAATCCGGTTTCCGAGCTGGTTATGGGTGCACCTCAGCCACGCTCAAGGTCCTAAACGATATTATAACCGCGATCAATAATAGACAGTACTGTGCAGCCGTCTTCATCGACCTGGCCAAGGCTTTCGAATCTGTCAACCACCGCATTCTTATTGGCAGACTAAATAGCCTTGGTTTCTCAAATGACTGCCTCGCCTGGTTCACCAACTACTTCTCAGATAGAGTTCAATGTGTCAAATCGGAAGGCCTGTTGTCTGGACCTATGGCAGTCTCTATGGGGGTGCCACAGGGTTCAATTCTTGGGCCAACTCTTTTCTCCGTGTATATCAATGATGTCGCTCTTGCTGCTGGTGACTCTCAGATCCACCTCAACGCAGACGACACCATTTTGTATACATCTGGCCCTTCATTGGACACTGTGTTAACAAACCTCCAAACAAGCTTCAATGCCATACAACACTCCTTCAGTAGCCTCCAACTGCTCTTAAACACTAGTAAAACTAAATGCATGCTCTTCAATCGAACGCTGCTGGCACCCGCCCACCCGACTAGAATCACTACTCTCGACGGGTCTGACCTAGAGTATGTGGACAACTACAAATACCTATAGTGGGGAAAAAAAGTATTTAGTCAGCCACCAATTGTGCAAGTTCTCCCACTTAAAAAGATGAGAGAGGCCTGTAATTTTCATCATAGGTACACATCAACTATGACAGACAAAATGAGAAAACAAATCCAGAAAATCACATTGTAGGATTTTTAATGAATTTATTTGCAAATTATGGTGGAAAATAAGTATTTGGTCAATAACAAAAGTTTCTCAATACTTTGTTATATACCCTTTGTTGGCAATGACACAGGTCAAACGTTTTCTGTAAGTCTTCACAAGGTTTTCACACACTGTTGCTGTTATTTTGGCCCATTCCTCCATGCAGATCTCCTCTAGAGCAGTGATGTTTTGGGGCTGTCGCTGGGCAACACAGACTTTCAACTCCCTCCAAAGATTTTCTATGGGGTTGAGATCTGGAGACTGGCTAGGCCACTCCAGGACCTTGAAATGCTTCTTACGAAGCCACTCCTTCGTTGCCCGGGCGGTGTGTTTGGGATCATTGTCATGCTGAAAGACCCAGCCACGTTTCATCTTCAATGCCCTTGCTGATGGAAGGAGGTTTTCACTCAAAATCTCACGATACATGGCCGCATTCATTCTTTCCTTTACACGGATCAGTCGTCCTGGTCCCTTTGCAGAAAAACAGCCCCAAAGCATGATGTTTCCACCCCCATGCTTCACAGTAGGTATGGTGTTCTTTGGATGCAACTCAGCATTCTTTGTCCTCCAAACACGACGAGTTGAGTTTTTACCAAAAAGTTATATTTTGGTTTCATCTGACCATATGACATTCTCCCAATCATCTTCTGGATCATCCAAATGCACTCTAGCAAACTTCAGACGGGCCTGGACATGTACTGGCTTAAGCAGGGGGACACGTCTGGCACTGCAGGATTTGAGTCCCTGGCGGCGTAGTGTGTTACTGATGATAGGCTTTGTTACTTTGGTCCCAGCTCTCTGCAGGTCATTCACTAGGTCCCCCTGTGTGGTTCTGGGATTTTTGCTCACCGTTCTTGTGATCATTTTGACCCCACGGGGTGAGATCTTGCGTGGTGCCCCAGATCGAGGGAGATTATCAGTGGTCTTGTATGTCTTCCATTTCCTAATAATTGCTCCCACAGTTGATTTCTTAAAACCAAGCTGCTTACCTATTGCAGATTCAGTCTTCCCAGCCTGGTGCAGGTCTACAATTTTGTTTCTGGTGTCCTTTGACAGCTCTTTGGACTTGGCCATAGTGGAGTTTGGAGTATGACTGTTTGAGGTTGTGGACAGGTGTCTTTTATACTGATAACAAGTTCAAACATGTGCCATTAATACAGGTAACGAGTGGAGGACAGAGGAGCCTTTTAAAGAAGAAGTTACAGGTCTGTGAGAGCCAGAAATCTTGCTTGTTTGTAGGTGACCAAATACTTATTTTCCACCATAATTTGCAAATAAATTCATAAAAAATCCTACAATGTGATTTTCTGGAGAAAAAAAATCTCAATTTGTCTGTCATAGTTGACGTGTACCTATGATGAAAATTACAGGCCTCTCTCATCTTTTTAAGTGGGAGAACTTGCACAATTGGTGGCTGACTAAATACTTTATTTCCCCACTGTAGGTGTCTAGTTAGACTGTAAACTCTCCTTCCAGACTCAGATTAAGAATCTCCAATCCAAAGTTAAATCTAGAATCGGCTTCCTATTTCGCAACAAAGCCTCCTTCACTCATGCTGCCAAACATGCCCTCGTAAAACTGACTATCCTACCGATCCTTGACTTCGGCGATGTCATTTACAAAATAGCCTCCAACACTCTACTCAGCAAATTGGATGTAGTCTATCACAGTGCCATCCGTTTTGTCACCAAAGCCCCATATACTACCCACCACTGTGACCTATACGCTCTTGTTGACTGGTCCTCACTACATATTCGTCGCCAAACCCACTGGCTCCAGGCCATCTATAAATCACTGCTAGGCAAATCCCAGCCTTATCTTAGCTCATTGGTCACCATAGCAACACCCACCCGTCGTATGCGCTCCAGCAGGTATATCTCACTGGTCATCCCCAAAGCCAACACCTCCTTTGGCCGCCATTCCTTCCAGTTCTCTGCTGCCAATGACTGGAACGAATTGCAAAAATCTCTGAAGCTGGAGACTCTTATCTCCCTCACTAACTTTAAGCATCAGTTGTCAGAGCACCTTACTGATCACTGCACCTGTACACAGCTCATCTGAAATTAGCCCACCCTACTACCTCATCCCCATATTGTTATTTATTTTGCTCATTTGCACCCCAGTATCTCTATTTGCACATCATCTCTTGCACGTCTATCATTCCAGTGTTAATACTAATTGTAATTATTTTGCACTATAGCCTATTTATTGCCTTACCTCCATAACTTGCTACATTTGCACACACTGTATATATATTTTCTGTTGTATTTTTGACTTTATGTTTTGTTTTACCCCATATGTAACTCTGTGTTGTTGTTTTTATTGCACTGCTTTGCTTTATCTTGGCCAGGTCGCAGTTGTAAATGAGAACTTGTTCTCAACTGGCTTACCTGGTTAGATAAAGGTGAAAAAAAATAAAAATGAAAGATTTGTTTATTCATTAAACTTCCAAGCTAGCCAGTGTGTGTGTGTGTGTGTGTGTGTGTGTGTGTGTGTGTGTGTGTGTGTGTGTGTGTGTGTGTGTTTTTCAGGCTGTCTGTTTCTATCTATATTAAACTGAAGAAAAATCTAAACGGAACATGCAACAATTGCAAAGATTTGACTGAGTTACAGTTCATATAAGGAAATTAGTAAAATGAAATAAATTCATTAGGCCCTAATCTATGGATACAGTGAGGGAAAAAAGTATTTGATCCCCTGCTGATTTTGTACGTTTGCCCACTGACAAAGAAATGATCAGTCTATAATTTTAATGGTAGGTTTATTTGAACAGTGAGAGACAGAATAACAACAAAAAGATCCAGAAAAACGCATGTCAAAAATGTTATAAATTGATTTGCATTTTAATGAGGGAAATAAGTATTTGACCCCCCTGCAAAACATGACTTAGTACTTGGTGGCAAAACCCTTGTTGGCAATCACAGAGGTCAGACGTTTCTTGTAGTTGGCCACCAGGTTTGCACACATCTCAGGAGGGATTTTGTCCCACTCCTCTTTGCAGATCTTCTCCAAGTCATTAAGGTTTTGAGGCTGACGTTTAGCCATTCGAACCTTCAGCTCCCTCCACAGATTTTCTATGGGATTAAGGTCTGGAGACTGGCTAGGCCACTCCAGGACCTTAATGTGCTTCTTCTTGAGCCACTCCTTTGTTGCCTTGGCCGTGCGTTTTGGGTCATTGTCATGCTGGAATACCCATCCACGACCCATTTTCAATTCCCTGGCTGGTGGAGGTTCTCACCCAAGATTTGACGGTACATGGCCCCGTCCATTGTCCCTTTGATGCGGTGAAGTTGTCCTGTCCCCTTAGCAGAAACCACCCCAAAGCATATTGTTTCCACCTCCATGTTTGAAGGTGGGGATGGTTTTCTTGGGGTCATAGGCAGCATTCCTCCTCCTCCAAACACGGCGAGTTGAGTTGATGCCAAAGAGCTCAATTTTGGTCTCATTTGACCACAACACTTTCACCCAGTTCTCTGAATCATTCAGATGTTCATTGGCAAACTTCAGACGGGCATGTATATGTGCTTTCTTGAGCAGGGGGACCTTGCGGGCGCTGCAGGATTTCAGTCCTTCACGGCGTAGTGTGTTACCAATTGTTTTCTTGGTGACTATGGTCCCAGCTGCCTTGAGATCATTGACAATATCCTCCCGTGTAGTTCTGGGCTGATTCCTCACCGTTCTGATGATCATTGCAACTCCACGAGGTGAGATCTTGCATGGAGCCCCAGGCCGAGGGAGATTTACAGTTATTTTGTGTTTCTTTCATTTGCGAATAATCGCACCAACTGTTGTCACCTTCTCACCAAGCTGCTTGGCGATGGTCTTGTAGCCCATTCCAGCCTTGTGTAGGTCTACAATCTTGTCCCTGACATCCTTGGAGAGCTCTTTGGTCTTGGCCATGGTGGAGAGTTTGGAATCTGATTGATTGATTGCTTCTGTGGACAGGTGTCTTTTATACAGGTAACAAGCTGAGATTAGGAGCACTCCCTTTAAGAGTGTGCTCCTAATCTCAGCTCGTTACCTGTATAAAAGACACCTGGGAGCCAGAAATCTTTCTGATTGAGAGGGGGTCAAATACTTATTTCCCTCATTAAAATGCAAATCAATTTATAACATTTTTGACATGCGTTTTTCTGGATTTTTGTTTTGTTATTCTGTCTCTCACTGTTCAAATAAACCTACCATTAAAATTATAGACTGATAATTTCTTTGTCAGTGGGCAAACGTACAAAATCAGCAGGGGATCAAATACTTTTTTCCCTCACTGTATATATATATTTTTTCCCTCTTTTTCAATCTTGTCTCATCGCTGCAACTCCCCAACGGACTCTGGAGAGGCAAAGGTCGAGTCATGCATCCTCTGAAACATGACCCGCCAAACCGCTCTTCTTAACACCAGCCCGCTTAACCCGGAAGCACCAATGTGTCAGAGGAAACACTGTTCAACTGACAACTGGAGTCAGCCTGCAGGTGTCCGGCCCCCCACAAGGAGTCGCTAGAGCCTGATGAGCCAAGTAAAGCCCACCCGGCCAAACCCTCCCCTAACCCGGACGACGCTGGGCAAATTGTGCAACGTCCTATGGGTCTCCCGGTCACGGCTGGTTGTGACACAGCCTGGGATTGAACCCAGGTCTGTAATGACGCCTCAAGCACTGCGATGCAGTGCCTTAGACCGCTGCACCACTCGAGAGGCCAGTCAGTATCTGGTGTGACCACCATTTGCCTCATGCAGTGCGACATATCTCCTTCGCATAGCGTTGAGCAGGCTGTGCGAAGTTGCTGGATATTGGCGGGAACTGGTACATGCTTTCGTACTCGTCGATCCAGAGCATCCCAAACATGCTCAATGGGTGACATGTCTGGTGAGTAAGCAGGCCATGGACGAACTTGGACATTTTCAGCTTCCAGGAATTGTGTACAGATCCTTGCGACATGGGGCCATGAATTATCATGCTGGGGTGATGGCGGCAGATGAATGGCACGACAATGGGCCTCAGGATTTCGTCACAGTATCTCTGTGCATTCAAATTGCTATCGATAAAAACACAATTGTGTTTGTTGTCCGTAGCTTTTGCCTGCCCATACCATAACCCTACCGCCACCATGGGGTGCTCTGTTCACAACGTTGACATCAGCAAACCGCTCGCCCACACAACACCATACACATGGTCTGTGGTTGAGAGGCCGGTTGGACGTACTGCCAAATTCTCTAAGATGACGTTGGAGGCGGCTTATGGTAGAGAAATGAACATTCAATTCTCTGGCAAAAGCTCTGTTGGACATTCCTGCAGTCAGCATGCCAATTGCACGCTCCCTCAAAAATTATCATGCTGTTTAATCAGCTTCTTGATATGCCACACCTGTCAGGTGGATGGATTATCTTGGCAAAGGAGAAAGGCTCACTAACAGGGATATAAACAAATTTGTGCACACAATTTGAGAAAAATAAGCTTTTTGTCCGTACAGGAATGTTTTTGGGATCTTTTATTTCAGCTCATGAAACATGAGCCCAACACTTTACATGTTGCGTTTATATTTTTGTTCAGTATAGAATTGCTTTGTCAATTATGCACCCAGCGCTGAATAGACTATACTTACTGCTGATTACTGCTGATTAGAGCCCTAATGAAAATCTGCACTGGTTGATGTCACACGTCAGGAAAAGGAGGGAAGGCAGACTGGCAATGATTGGTAGCAAGAGAGATTATCACACTGTTGGCTTGCTACTGCTACTCCAGTCCCAATCATGCCAATGCTTCTTTGGTGCTTGTAACAAGAAAAGGCAATCTGATAATCAAAACATTTATGTTTGTGTCCTGTACAAATATAAAGACCACAGGTTTGTGACATTAGCCAGTTGTCCTAATGAAAATATTAGGCCAGGCCTCCTGAGTGGCGCAGCAGTCTAAGGCACTGCATCGCAGTGTTTTGGCGTCACTAGAGCCTGGTGTTCGATCCCAGGCTGTGTCCGGGAGTCCCGGCCGTGACCGGGAGTCCCATAGGGCGGAGCACAATTGGTCCAGCGTCGTCCGGGTTAGGGGAGGGTTTGGCTGGGGGGCTTTTCTTGGCTCATCGCGCTCTAGTGACCCCTTGTGGCGGGCCGGGCGCCTGCAGGCTGACTTCGGTCGTCAGTTGAACGGTGTTTCCTCTGACACATTGGTGCAGCTGGCTTCCAGGTTAAGCGAGCCTCTCCCGAGCCCGTTGCAGTGATGAGACAAGATCGTAATCACGAAAAAGGGAGGGTAAAAATTACTAAAAAATATAATAAAACATTAGGCCAACTCAGATAGAAACATAGATCCAGAAGCAGTGGAAAAGTACAGTGCCACCAGCCACTGACACAAGGGACTTTCTCCCATTCAAAATACAACTCATACCAGCTGTCCTATACCGTAATAAAACAATTAAGTATATTACCATATATAAAACATTTGTACAATCATCATTGTGCGAAATCAAAACAGCAGTTCCAGCCAATCTACCACAGAAAAGAGGGACTCTCCTTTCTCCTATTCAAAACATACGGGTGCTTCCCAAATGGCACATAGGGCTCTGGTCAAAAGTAGTGCACTGTATAGGGGATAGGCGCCATTTGGATGGACACAGGAAGTGTGTCCATCAAGGGAATTGACAGGCTGGGCCCAGCTGCGGGTGGCGGCTAATCTAATCAGTGAGAGGAGAGATGGGGAGGTGGAGATAAAGAGGGGGGAGGGTATTCAGAGTGGTCCGAGGGACTCAAATTAATGGATTTGGGAGGACGGCCCTCTTTGGAAAGGGCAAAGTCAATAACGTGTGTGTGTGTGTGTGTGTGTGTGTGTGTGTGTGTGTGTGTGTGTGTGTGACCTCCAAGGCTAAAAGGATACTTGGTGGGATATGGGGAGGCAACACTGCATTGTAATTGGTCATGCCAATCAAACAACTTTTATGAGAGAGAAAGAAAAAGATGGAAAGAGACAAAGAGAAAGAAAGAGAGAGCATGAGAGAAAGAGAGAGGGAGAAGGGGGACTGAAAGAGAGAAGACCAACAGTCATCAAAGAGCTACAGTGCCTTGCAAAAGTATTCATCCCCCTTGGCGTTTTTCCTATTTTGTTGCATTACAACATGTAATTTAAATGGATTTTTATTTGGATTTCATGTAATGGACATACACAAAATAGTCCAAATTGGTGAAGTGAAATTAAAAGAATAACTTGTTTCAGAAAAATAAAAAATAAAAATAATGGAAAAGTGGTGCGTGCATATGTATTCACCCCCTTTGCTATGAAGCCCCTAAATAAGATCTGGTGCAACCAATTACCTTCAGAAGTCACATAATTAGTTAAATAAAGTCCACCTGTGTGCAATCTAAGTGTCACATGATCTGTCACATGATCTCAGTATCTCAGTCTACAACACCACTAAAATTGAGCTTTTTGGCCATCATGGAAAACGCTATGTCTGGCGCAAACCCAACACCTCTCATCACCACGAGAACACCATCCCCACAGTGCAGCATGGTGGTGGCAGCATCATGCTGTGGGGATGTTTTTCATCGGCAGGGACTGGGAAACTGGTCAGAATTGAAGGAATGATGGATGGCGCTAAATACAGGGAAATTCTTGAGAGAAACTTGTTTCAGTCTTCCAAAGATTTGAGGCTGGGATGGAGGTTCACCTTCCAGCAGGACAATGACCCTAAGCATACTGCTAAAGCAACACTTGAGTGGTTTATGGGGAAACATTTAAACATATTGGAATGGCCTAGTCAAAGCCCAGACCTCAATCCAATTGCGAATCTGTGGTATGTCTTAAAGATTGCTGTACACCAGCGGAACCCATCCAACTTGAAGGAGCTGGAGCAGTTTGGCAGAAATCCCAGTGGCTAGGTGTGCCAAGCTTATAGAGACATACCCCAAGGGACTTGCAGCTGTAATTGCTACAAAAGGTGGCTCTACAAAGTATTGACTTTGGGGGGGGTGAATAGTTATGCACACTCAAGTTTTCTGTTTTTCTGTCTTATTTCTTGTTTGTTTCACAATAAAAAATATTTTGCATCTTCAAAGTGGTAGGCATGTTGTGTAAATCAAATGATACAAACCCCCAAAAAATCCATTTTAATTCCAGGTTGTAAGGCAACAAAAGAGGAATAATGCCAAGGGGGGTGAATACTTTCGCAAGCCACTGTACCTGCAATGAACCCCTATGCGAAGAAGACTTCACTTAGGCCTTCATGACAAACTCCCTCCTCCAGGCAGTCCAAGTGGGTGAAAAGGCTCAGTAGCACATAGGTCAGCACAGTGGGGATGGAGACACACATACACACACACACACACACCCACCCACACACACACACACACACACACACACAGGTCAGCACAGTGGGGATAGAGGCACACACACACACACACACACACACACACACACAGATACACAGGTCAGCACAGTGGGGATAGAGGCACACAGGGGAACAGGCTGACCTCAGTGTAACAGGAGGCCACGATGATTCAGTAGTTAGAAGCACACCACTGAGCTCACATTACCGACAGGCAGCCTCTGGCAACATTATGGCTGTTTAGGGTTTAGCTTTACATCCCCCAGAGCTGAATAGATTGAATAACCACTTGTAACCAGTTTTGAAGACTTAATAAATAAATAAAATACAAGTGCCAAGGGCGATTTATCTAATCAATGCAGGGGCTGAACTGTTGTCAGGTTCTTAGGACCTTGTGTAGTTTGCTTCACTTTGTTTAGTTAGCAAACTTTTGACATTTGTTCTCAATATAAATTAACCACACTGGATCCAAAACAAACACTGAAGTCAGCTGAATGATCACATTCTAAGCTGTGCTGCAATGAACTGCAACAGAATGTTTCCTTTTCTGAAGCACAACTCTACCAATGTGTCCCTGTAAACCATTTTACGTACACACAGAAGCCCTCATTCCAAAACACAGTTTAGAGCCTTTTAGAACTTAACAGTCCAAAAATGTGTTTTGGAGGTACAGTAAAACGGACATTAGTCTGAGTAAATTGGTTAAGTAGTATAAGGTGCAGAAACAGTCACATTGGACTGTCACTCCATTCCGAACAGAAGCTCACAGCCATGATCCACTGACCTGTTTGGTCATTGCTGAAGAGGATAGACGTCAGGCTCAGACCACTTAGAGAAATGTGACCCATTGTTGTTTATTACTGTTCTGAGGTTGACCTCTGACCTCCACTATCAATTACCTTCATATGTGTATATAATTTGGGGGGTGCTTATATTTGTCCTGTTACACACAAGTGTGTAATGGAAATGATTTGTTTGTGCATATCCCAACCCCCCCCCCCGAGACACTCGTAGGGAGTTGGGTCACGATTGTACAGTGCCCCTGGAGCAATTAGGCTTAAGTGCTTTGCTCAAGGGCATATCGATAGGATTATTAATTGTTTTACCTTGTTGGCTCTGGTATTCGATCCAGCAACCTTTCGGTTACCGGCCTAACGTGCTAACCTCGAGGCTACCTAAAGCCCATAAGGTCAACCAATCAATTACCAAATGATCTAGCCATTCAGTATATGAGTTAGGACGCATATGAGTTCACTGAGTGACCGGCTGCATGTAAATAAAGCATATTCTGTCAATTTATTTACACAATTGACTAGCATATAAAACATCCATGACAGCTAAAGCAAACCAATAAGTATACGTTTGATGCAAATTAGGTAAGGAATATGTTATGTTAAGAACACAAAACAACGATATATACAGTGTGTCATACAGGCCACACCGGGATAAAAAGGGCACTATACCAACACTGCATGTGGCTATGACAGTCAAACACCGTACATTGTCCGTCAGAACTACAGTACAAGAATAAGCAAAAGGCTTAGACTGACATCAGGCGACCGGCTGCCTTTGTTTTCCTTCCCACTGATAAGGGTGACTGGGCGACCAGCGTCCATTTTGTGCCAGTCAGGGGCAGCTGACACGGCTCTGGTGGCGTGATTATGTGTCTGCTCTTTGTCCAGGCTGCCTTTTATATAAAACACTCTGCCAGCTAGAGCCAATAATGAGGGAAGAAAGAAGAGGGGGAGAAAGGAGGGGGGAGAGATAAAAAAGAGACTGGGGTGTTTGAAGCAATGAAAGTCTACAATACATGTTAAGGATATAATAGCAAAGTTAGAGAAAGTTGAGGATACATTGAGGACGAGTTGCTGGCAGTCTTCGGTTGGGGGTGGCAGGTCAGAGAGAGTGAGCCCACTATGTAAAATAATAAAGGAAAAGGAGAAGAGAGAAGGAGAAATAGAGTATGGAGAGGAATGGATAGCAAAAAAAGCAACAGAGACCTCAGAAGGCAGGGAGCATCAAGAAAGGGAAAGAGACAATTTTTTCTTTAGCGGATGGTTAGGTGGCCGGAACATAATTACAAATAATTTGTAGACTGCAAATTCAGCGCAAGAAGATATTATATTTGACTAAAACATAATAATTTCAAACCTTGCTTACATTTGTCACATACACTGAGCATACCAAACATTGGGAACACCTTCCTAATATTGAGTTACACACCCCCTTTTGCCCTCAGAACAGCCTCATTTCGTCGGGGCATGGACTCTACAAGGTGTCGAAAGCATTCCATAGGGTGCTGGCCCATGTTGACTCCAATGCTTTCCACAGTTGTGTCAAATTGGCTTGATGTCCTTGGGTGGTTGACCATTCTTGATACACACTGTTGAGGATGAAAAACCCAGCAGCGTTGCAGTTCTTGACACAAACCGGGGTGCCTGGCACCTACTACCATAACCCATTCAAAGGCACTTAAATATATTGTCTTGCCCCTTCACCCTCTGAATGGCACACATACACAGTCTCAATTGTCTCAAGGCATAAAAATCGTTCTTTAACCTGTCTCCTCCCCTTCATCTACACTGATTGAAGTGGATTTAATAAGTGATATCAAAAAGGGATCATAGCTTTCACCTGGATTAACCAGGTCAGTCTATATCATGGAAAGAGCAGGTGTTCTTAATGTTTTGTATACTCCGTGTATATCTCTCTATTATGCGTGGGAATACTTTGGAACTGATTGGAGCTGATTTCTTGGTGTTTTTACAGTCTTTTATGTCCAACAATTAAAACAAATACAATTTAAGAAAATATACAAATGTTTTTTAGTTTTTTTCTCATCACACTTGGGGGGCCAAATAAAAACACCTGTGGGCCAAATTCGGCCGGCGGGCCGCCAGTTGGGGAATCCTGGCTTAGAGGAACAGACCAAGGGAGAGAAGGAAGGAGAAACAGATGGGGTAATGAAAAGAGAAGATAAACAAGACAAAGTAGCCAGACGGACCGTAAAAGTAAAGTAGCAAGATAGTAACAAGAGTACAAGATGAACATGATAAAGAAGTTAGACAGGTAAAGAGAATGAAATAAACAACAAGAGCATGGACAGAAGGAGACCAACTTAAATGGACATAGCAGTTTTGAGAAGGAGAAAAATAAAGGGCAACATTTTGCATAATGACGTCATTATCTGGTTGTAAGCAAGATTTGTGGTTGTAGAGATTTCAGATTATTGTGTGAACCATGTAGAGACTTATATTTTCATGAAGTCATCCAGATTTCAGGAAAATACATTATTTGATTGACATCATATTTGATCTGGTCAGATTACCAGATTACAACCAGTGAAAGATGTATTTTTCTGATCGCTAACAATATGTCTAGAAAACGTTCTTTCATAGCTAGAAAACGACCTGAACGTGACGTTACAAAACATCTCATAATAACTTCATTGCCACCAGTACACTGGGTAGGATTAGATGCAACAAGATAGTGACAAAGTGTGAGGGTAAAACTGATTTAAGAGGGGAGGGTGCACCAATTTGTAAGTCGCTCTGGATAAGAGCATCTGCTAAATGACGTAAATGTAAATGTAAAAATGACGGAGGCAGAGGGAGACGGGGCCCAGATGGGAGAGATAAACAGGACACTCTGTTTCCCCTTTATTAGATTCCCTCCCTTTTATTCTGGTCCTGCAGCGCCGTGTGTCCTGACAGAACCCACACGTGTGTTTTAACGCACATGCAGGACTGGATGGCGGGATGGATAGAGTGGGAAAAGAAGAAGAGAGGAGGACAAGAAAGGTGGTGATGCAATCCTTGGATATATTACAAACTCACTACACTGACTGACTCACTCCAGTGGGGCCATCATCGTATATACAGTCGTGGTCAAAAGTTTTGAGAATGACACAAGTATTGGTCTTCACAAAGTTCGCTGCTTCAGTGGTATGAGATATTTTTGTCAGATGTTACTATGGTATACTGAAGTATAATTACAAGCATTCCATAAGTGTCAAAGGCTTTTATTGACAATTACATTACGTTTATGCAAAGAGTCAATATTTGCAGTGTTGACCCTTCTTTTTCAAGACCTCTGCAATCCGCCCTGGCATGCTGTCAATTAACTTCTGGGCCACATCCTGACTGATGGCAGCCCATTTTTGCATAATCAATGCTTGGAGTTTGTCAGAATTTGTGGGTTTTTGTTTGTCCACCCGCCTCTTGAGGATCGACCACAAGTTCTCAATGGGATTAAGGTCTGGGGAGTTTCCTGGGCATTGACCCAAAATGTAGATGTTTTGTTCCCCAAGCCACTTAGTTATCACTTTTGCCTTATGGCAAGGTGCTCCATCATGATGGAAAAGGCATTGGTCGTCACCAAACTGTTCTTGGATGGTTGGGAGAAGTTGCTCTCTGAGGATGTGTTGGTACCATTCTTTATTCATGGCTGTGTTCTTAGGCAAAATTGTGAGTGAGCCCACTCCCTTGGCTGAGAAGCAACCCCACACATGAATGGTCTCAGGATGCTTTACTGTTGGCATGACACAGGACTGATGGTGGCGCTCACCTTGTCTTCTCCGGACAAGGTGTTTTCCAGATTCCCCAAACAATCGGAAAGGGGATTCATCAGATAATATTACTTTACCTCAGTCCTCAGCAGTCCAATCCCTGTACCTTTTGCAGAATATCAGTCTGTCCCTGATGTTTTTCCTGGAGAAAAGTGGCTTCTTTGCGGCAGGTAGCTTAGTGGGTAAGAGCGTTGTGCCAGTAACCGAAAGGTCGCTGGTTCTAATCCCCGAGCCGACTAGGTGAAAAATCTGTCGATGTGCCCTTGAGCAAGGCACTTAACCCTAATTGCTCCTGTATGTCGTTCTGGATAAGAGCGTCTGCTAAATGACTAAAACATTTTCTTGACACCAGGCCATCCTCCAAAAGTCTTCGCCTCACTGTGCGTGCAGATGCACTCACACCTGCCTGCTGCCATTCCTGAGCAAGCTCTGCACTGTTGGTGCCCCGATCCCGCAGATGAATCAACTTTAGGAGACGGTCCTGGCGCTTGCTGGACTTTCTTGGGCGCCCTGACGCCTTCTTCACATCAATTGAACCTCTCTCCTTGAAGTTCTTGATGATCCGAAAAATGGTTGATTTAGGTGCAATCTTACTAGCATCAATATCCTTGCATGTGAAGTCCTTTTTGTGCAAAGCAATGATGACGGCACGTGTTTCCTTGCAGGTAACCATGGTTAACAGAGGAAGAACAATGATTTCAAGCACCACCCTCCTTTTAAAGCTTCCAGTCTGTTATTCTAACTCAATCAGCATGACAGAGTGATCTCCAGCCTTGTCCTCGTCAACACTCACCTGTGTTAACGAGAGAATCACTGACATGATGGCAGCTGGTCCTTTTGTGGCAGGGTTAAAATGTTTTTATGAAGGCTAATCCATGCGAGAAATTGCCAAGAAACTGAAGATCTCATACAACGCTGTGTACTACTCCTTTCACTGAACAGTGCAAACTGGCTCTAACCAGAATAGAAAGAGGAGTGGGAGGCCCCGGTGCACAACTGAGCAAGAGGACAAATACAGTAGAGTGTCTAGTTTGAGAAACAGACTCCTCACAGGTCCTCAACTGGCAGCTTCATTAAATAGTACCCGCAAAACACCAGTCTCAACGTCAACAGTGAAGAGGCGACTCCGGGATGCTGACCTTCTAGGCAGAGTTGCAAAGAAAAAGCAAAATCTCAGACTGGCCAATAAAAAATAAAATATTAAGATGGGCAGTCTGAGTGAGATATGGCAATTTCTCGCATGGAATAGCCTTCATTTCTCAGAACAAAAATAGACTGCCGAGTTTCAGAAGAAAGTTATTTGTTTCTGGACAATTTGAGCCTGTAATCGAACCCACAATTGCTGATGCTCCCGATACTCAACTAGTCTCAAGAAGCCCCGTTTTATTGCATCTTTAATCAGCACAACAGTTTTCAGCTGTGCTAACATAATTGCAAAAGGGTTTTCTAATGATTAATCAGCCTTTTAAAATGATAAACTTGGATTAGCAAACACAACATGCCATTGGAACACAGGACTGATGGTTGCTGATAATGGGCCTCTGTACGCCTATGTACGTTTCCAACTACAATAGCCATTTACAACATTAACAATGTCTACACTGTATTTCTGATCAATTTGATGTTTTTTTGGTGCTTTTCCTTCGAAAACAAGGAAATTTCTAAGTGACCCAAAACTTTTGAACGGTAGTGTAAGTGCACTTACTGTATCCTGATCACGCACACACACTCACACACACACACACACACACTACGCACTTACATGCATTTCTCTTTTCACGCACACACATATGCATTTCAGCATGAGCATGAACACACATTCCAGTGTCTGTGTGCTGTCTCTCAGGAGTTCACCTCTACCCTCTAGGTATTATCTCATGTCACAGTGCGTTTTCTCCTATCAGCCGACACATGAAGACAACCCAGCAGGACAACCTAGTTCAGTAGAACTAAGCCAAATTCTGACACTGCCAAATTCCTCACATAGGCCATTACTCTGACACATCATTTCAAGTAATTGAAACTATTGTATACTCCTGGGAAAAAGTAACATTCCTGACAAAAAAAAACTTTCATCATCTTTGTCCTCATTGCTTGCTTATTATGGTAACTTGAGCTCTTCAGGCGATCAGCACTTGGTAGGATGATCTTGTGGAGGGGTTTCAGCATTACTGCATAAATGTCTGATTAAAAGGAATGAAAATGATTATGGTTATAGTTTGCTTTATCTACAGGGGTGGTGAATATGACTGTATTAAAAAATAAGACAAAATGGTGTTGAACACTTTGTAACCATTCCCAACACACACAAAAACACATTTTATATCACCAAGTTCAAATTCAATCAGGCCCATCAACTAATGTGATAAGCGGGGCTCGCTACACCACATCCATCTCCATCTCTCCATCTCTCCTCTGGTCGTTTACACCCGCTAGCCACAGAGGAGCGATTAGCTAACCGCACGGCCTCTCATGACGCAAATCCAGGGCAAACACTCCCAGATCCCCACTTTACACTATAAATATACTGAGGGATGGTTTGGTCAGGACTGAGAGACCAGTTTATAGGGCAGCAGGTAGCCTAGCGGTTAGAGCATTGGGCCAGTAACCGAAAGGTCGCTGGTTCGAGTACCTGAGCCGTCAAGGTGGAAAATCTGTTAATGTGTCCTTGAGCAAGGCACTTAACTTACTACTATGGCTGACCCTGTAAAACAACACATTTCACTGCACCTATCTGGTATATGTGACGATAAAACAAATGATTATATATATAAAGCTACTCTTCATGTGGAGGGACCCTCTGGGCCTCTGTAGTTCTGTCTGCTTTCTCCTCTCTATATCTCACTTCCTCTCAGGCCTAAAGGCTTTATTACTGCTTTCTGATGGCTGGTCCATCTTCAGAACAGCAGCAATACAAAGAGAGCAAGATTAAATTCTAGCTAGACGTGGTGGCTAAATATTTGAGATGGAATTAAGGCACCTGTCAAAGGGAGGCTGACCTTTAGGTGAGATAATAAGCGTCAAGCGGTGGTGGTGGTGAGGAGAGGATGAAGAGGAAGGGGTGAAAGGAAGGAGGGATGGTGATAATGGACATGGAGGAGAGAGTAGAGCAGACAGGTAATTTAGGCAGCGGGCTGAGCATCTGTTTTTTTAAAATGGCCAACAGATTGGTCCTGTCTATGGAGAGGAGAAGGGATTAAGTCAGAATGAGGTTACTATTGAGTGGCATTTTGTGGTATATCTCGTGAAGATGTCAGTCATTGTCCTGCCCACAAAGACTACACGTCCCATGAGCACACACAACCTACACTCTTAGAAAAAAAGGTTATATCTAGAACCTAAAAGGGTTCTTTGGCTATCCCCACAAGAGAACCCTTTGAAGAACCCTTTTTGGTTCCAGGTAGAACCCTTTGGTTCCAGGTAGAATCCTATTGGGTTCCATGTAGAACCATTTCCCCAGAGGGTTCTACATGGAACACAAAAGAGTTCTACCTGGAACCAAAAAGGGTTCTACCTGGAACCAAAAAGCGTTATCCTATGGGGACAGCTGAAGAACCCTTTTGGAACCTTGCCTCTTCAGCCCCAGCTGAAGTTGGTTTCAGCTAATCAAGGGCTGGCATCAATACCGTAGGTGTCTTTCATTGAAGGATGAAGCTTGCTATAAGGATGACATTATCAGTGCCATAGGAGGCCAGAATGAAAAGATGGCACATTAAGTGATCTCAAAAGCAACCCTCTAAAACGTCATTTAAAATGTTGTTTGTCGAAAGGTAAGTGCAATAAATGATGCTTCATATTAGGAAAACAGGTGTTCCGCTTATTAAATAAGAATCCCTTTATTCTGGTACTGACAACACAACCGTGCTGCATCCTGCATCTGATCCAGAGTAACCCTATTTCACTTCTGTTAAGTTTGGTTTGTTTGAAACAAGTTCTATAAGTGCTTGCTGTAGGCCTTTACAAAATGGCAGATTTGGTCACTGATAAGAGCATAAATAGGAACACAGTTGCTGTACAGTAACATACTATACATGATGCCAGAGCTCAGGGTCTCTGCTTTACAGCGCTGTATGGGATTCAACTGAAAGACGTTGTAAGTGGGAGCACGACCTGCAACAAGAAGATGCCCCCATCCTTCCCGCCAATGGGGTTACTTTTGCACATTTTGGTGTTGTCTGAGTTAAGTGAGGGGAATGCAGTAAATTCGAGAGGAGTTGATGTGTTCTGAAAGATGAAACGTTGAGGATTATAATAAATAAGGCTTTGATGTCACACAAGCAAACCACACACCCATGAGTCCAAATGTGCTCTTGAAATTTACACACGTCAAAACTTATTTCATGTACAGTATCAGTATTTATAATTGATAAGTGTGATGTAGAGTTACGAAGATGACATGGTGTCATACCCCCGGTTGTTCTGAAAAGAATAAGCCTGTGTTCGCCATATTGTGAAGAAAAGTAGCCATGGAACGCATACCTAAATGCACTCATGACTCCATTCTCTGCGCACCAAAATTACAATGTGTTTCTCTGTGCTTTGTGAAAGCCTAACACTGTAAGATCGTATTTTATAACTTAGCTAGTCATGTTGGTAATAGAATAAGCTTTCAAATGATGCTCACCTGACCCAGGTTGCAATTTGTAATGGAACGCGTAAACAACAACAGTCATTGTGTTTGATGGTGTCGATGCAGGGCTGTGTTCCAAACCAAAAACTATAAGTGTGCTTGCATCAGTTCTTCAACGGCACAGCTTACAGAGCTTAAAAGAGCACCTAATAGTTAAAGGCTCTTTCCTTGAATCATGAAAGTACATTGAAATTATTTAGGAACTGTGCACACTTTGGAGAGGTGTGCAGCAGAGCAGCGCCCCTGGATCACTTAGAGGTAAAGTGCCTTTAGAGAACTTAAAAACGTAGTCTTTATGCTATACTTGCTAACAATACCTTTCATGGTCCTGCTATTGCCACCATTAGGCACCAACCTCTGCTAGTGATCCAGGTACAGTAGGTGCAAACATAAACATGGAGAGCGATGAACATGTGCTGAACATGTACAGTCCTGTTAATACAGATTCACGCACAAGTATCACACTTGAATCCAGTCAAGAACGTGCACAGAACTGGGTGTTTATACTGTATAATATAAACACACATGCACACACACGCGCACCTACACACACATTCCAGTGTCTGTGTGCTGTCTCTGAGGAGTTCACCTCTACCCTGTATGTATTATCTATCTCATGTCACAGTGTGTTTACTCCTTTCAGCCGACACCTGACAACCCAGCAGAGATGGCTTAAAATAACCAACTGTAGAACAGAGAGCTTTCCTCCCACTAAGTAGTCTCAATAAAACACACACATACACACAAACACACACAAGCACACACACACAAGGCACCCAAGGAAGAGTAGCTGCTACACACACACACAGACTCTCGCTCTCTCTCTCTCTCTGTTACATACACGCGTGGGGGTGACTGTGGTAGGTCACTGGCTCTTGTGTGCCTTGGTCGGAGCAGACATAAAATCCCTGCGGGACTGTGCAGCTCTCCTCACTGAGTCAGTCAGGGGCTGCTGGTCAATAAACTGGGACAAAATAGAATAGAACAGAGCTGAAGTTGGTGCTCTCCCAATAGCTCCAACAGTAAGACACCTGATAGACCCTTAATCAACATTCGCTGTATTTATCAGTGTCCGTCTCCATCTCTCTTTCTCTCTGTCGCTCTCACTCATCATTTTCTATTCATCTGTCTCTTTCTTTCCTCTATGTATCTCTTCCCCTCTCTCTCACACACACTTTCTCTCCCTACATCATGCTATTCCCTGTCAGCCACCAAACACAACGTATCCAATATAAATCCTTTGAGCCAACCCGTCAATTTGACAATGTACCCAAACAACATCTTACAATGCAATCCTATCACACACAGATCCGAATCATGGTGCTATAACAGGCTGTCGCTGAAAGTGACCATCAGCCGCTGTGAGCTTATCTTCATGATGAAAAGAAGGCCTGCTGGTGTAGCGATGCAAACGGTGCCCAGTGAGCTAACTCGTTAGGGAGGTTTGCGCGATGACATCAAGAACAAAAGCAGAGATAAGAGCTCGGAAAGGCCTCAAGTGAGAAGTATGGACTTCGGCACGGCAAGCTAATCGTTCTGTTGTCAGAATGTGAAACCCCCGAGGACAATTTGTAGTCGTATTATTGTATTCTTTCAATGAATGCAATCAAGTTATGGTTTAGCTGCGAGGTGGTAATAAGCAGGGCATAAGCGACATAAGTGGGATTGCTTAGGAACTCAGTTGGGGTCTCAACTTCCTGTTGAGAGTTAGAATCGTAGAATACACAAGGTGCCATTTTGAAATTGAGTTGTGCATCAGCAGTTTTTCTCTTGTTATGTCAGTCACTGATAGTCACTCAATTAGCCCATGTCAGCTAATATTTTTTAGATTGTAAGTTAGTCTAGCCAGCTATCTGACCTCTAGAGGGCCCCCATTGACTTTGTTAGTCTCTCACTCAGATATCATATTAACATGGCATTAGACATGGCAAAATGTGTAGAATTGCAGCAAACTTGCTTTAAAAACTGCAACATTTTCTTTACACCTCTAATTCTAAAACAAACAAAAAAATTATCCACCATCAATAGGGGGGCCACTTCAATGTTTTCGGTCCCTCAATGATTTCTCAGAGATTTTTTGTGATATTTGCAGACAAAAATGCTTGATTTTGCTCTAGCGATTCTGACATTTTGCATGGCAATATGCAATGATTTTGTCAAAATTGTCTAAAAAATGCGCTGACGAGGGAAAAAGTTTGTTGATCTTTGGCTTGATTGAACCATGTTATGCAGTAAATGTGCAGTGAATTGTTGAAATTGAGACCACTTTTTTTGTACTGTGGTGATGAGTCCACTTTTATGCGATAATATTGCAATGCTTTGATTGTTTTATGCGGAAATAGTCAGTAGCGGTATGTGGGTAAAATCACTGGGGAAGCCAAGGCTGAAAAAATGCCATAATTACAACATAGGTGTTGTGATAATTGCATTGTTTGCTCTATGACCTGCTAGTTCATATGCCTTGCGACCAAGTTATATGCCTAACGCCGAGACAATAAGAAGATACAGTAGCAGAATAAATTCAACCACACCTTTGTTTCATCACAAAACCGGAGAGCAAACTCTGTCCGGTGAAGTCCACAAAGCATATGGCATGTAACAAACAGTTACATGACCTACATCATGGTCAAGAAAGTTAATGTTTCCGACATTTTCGTACTACTAAACAACTATAGATTTAGAACCACAGAGAGTTACTGCAAGTCACAAAGAAAACAGGAGCTGCCTCCACTATTCCAGCCCCATTTCAACATCAACATTTCAACATCAAATGACCAATGCTTAGTCTAATACAGTGACAACTAAAATATACCAAAAACAATCTAGTGTGTGTGTGTGTGTGTGTATTCCTGCAAAAAATATTTGACTCACCCTAATTGTAGAGAAATGCCAATGCCATCCTCCTCTCTATCATGTTGATGAAACGGTCTATGACTGTCATACAGTACACGCTTTTATGTTTTGTTGTCCTAGGCTATCTGTCTAAAATGCTTTCTCGTTAGCCTAACTTCCTTTCATGGGCAACGTTAGCTAGTTAATATTAACCTTCTACATCTAGCTACATATTGAACTTCCATTATCTCAGTCCAAGGGCACAATGTATTTTATGGTTGGATCAGAATCGCCGTTATAATCATTGGCCAGTACGGAGAATTAAGTAAAACTACCAGTCCAAATCCCTATCTCCATCCATGGCTAATTTAGGAAAGGGACTATTTTAGCTAGCTAGCTAGCCACCGGAGGACAACAACACAACGAGATGCAGCAATTCAAGTTGTTTCTATCGATGATTTATTTCTCTGTGATAGTATTGTATTTATTCACAGAGTAATGTATTTATCTGTGAATGCTATGGGCGGCAACAATGTCATACTCTTTAAGACCAGACTGCATCAGATAGATGGCCTACACACACAGAGACAGAGCGGGGCTGTTTCACTTGCTCGGATGCTTTCGCCGGTGATATACATTCATCATCTTGTGAATTGAAGGAAAACACAGAGAGACGAAAGATACATTCCTTACAAGCCCTTAACCAACAATGCAGTTTTAAGAAAATTGAGTTAAGAATATATTTACTAAATAAACTAACGTTTTTTTTTTAAATACAAAAAATATGAGAACACAATAAAATAACAATAATGAGGCTACAGTTGAAGTCGGAAGTTTACATACACTTAGGTTGGAGTCATTAAAACTTGTTTTTCAACCACTCCAGACATTTCTTGTTAACAAACTATAGTTTTGGCAAGTCGTTTAGGAATTCTACTTTGTGCATGACACAAGTAATTTTTCCAACAATTGTTTACAGACAGATTATTTCACTTATAATTCACTGTATCACAATTCCAGTGGGTCAGAAGTTTACATTGCACGATGACATCAAGAACAAAAGCAGAGATAAGAGCTCGGAAAGGCCTCAAGTGAGAAGTATGGACTTCGGCACGACAAGCTAATCGTTCTGTTGTCAGAATGTGAAACCACCGAGGATAATTTTTAATCGTATTATTGTATTCTTTCAATGAATGCAATCAAGTTATTCCAAAAAATGATGTCATGGCTTTAGAAGCTTCTGATAGGCTAATTGACATCATTTGAGTCAATTGGAGGTGTACCTGTGGATGTATTTCAAGGCCTACCTTCAAACTCAGTGGCTCTTTTCTTGACATCATGGGAAAATCAAAAGAAATCAGCCAAGACCTCAGAAAAAGAATTGTAGACCTCCACAAGTCTGGTTCATCCTTGGGAGCCATTTCCAAACGCCTGAAGGTACCACGTTCATCTGTACAAACAATAGTACGCAAGTATAAACACCATGGGACCACGCAGCCGTCATACCGCTCAGAAAGGAGACGCATTCTGTCTCCTAGAGATGAACGTACTTTGGTGCGAAAAGTGCAAATCAATCCCAGAACAACAGCAAAGGACCTTGTGAAGATGCTGGACGAAACAGGTACAAAAGTATCTATATCCACAGTAAAACGAGTCCTATATCGACATAACCTGAAAGGCCGCTCAGCAAGGAAGAAGCCACTGCTCCAAAACCGCCATAAAATGCCAGACTACGGTTTGCAACTGCACATCGGGACAAAGATCGTACTTTTTGGAGAAATGTCCTCTGGCCTGATAAAACAAAAATAGAACTGTTTGGCCATAATGAGCATCGTTATGTTTGGAGGAAAAGGGGGGTTGCTTGCATGTGGATATATTGAAGCAACATCTCAAGACATCAGTCAGGAAGTTAAAGCTTGGTCGCAAATGGGTCTTCCAAATGGACAATGACCCCAAGCATACTTCCAAAGTTGTGGCAAAATGGCTTAAGGACAACAAAGTCAAGGTATTGGAGTGGCCATCACAAAGCCCTGACCTCAAGCCTATAGAACATTTGTGGGCAGAACTGAAAAAGCGTGTGCAAGCAAGGAGGCCTACAAACCTGACTCAGTTACACCAGCTCTGTTAGGAGGAATGGGCCAAAATTCACCCAACTTATTGTGGGAAGCTTGTGGAAGGCTACCCGAAATGTTTGACCCAAGTTAAACAATTTAAAGGCAATGCTACCAAATACTAATTGAGTGTATGTAAACTTCTGACCCACTGGGAATGTGATGAAAGAAATAAAAGCTGAAAGAAATAATTCTCTCTACTATTATTCTGACATTTCACATTCTTAAAATAAAGTGGTGATCCTAACTGACCTAAGACAGGGAATTTTTACTAGGATTAATTTGTCAGGAATTGTGAAAAACTGAGTTTAAATGTATTTGGCTAAGGTGTATGTAAACTTCCGACTTCAGGGGGTACCGGTACCGATCAATGTGCGGGGTACAGGTTAGTTGAGGTCATTTGTACATGTAGGTAGGGGTAAAGTGACTATACGTAGATAATAAACAGCGAGTAGCAGCAGTGTAAAAACAAAGGGGGCAGTCAAGGCAAATAGTCCGGGTGGCCATTTGATAAATTTTTCAGCAGTCTTATTTAAATTTTAGTCATTTAGCAGACGCTCTTATCCAGAGCAACTTACAGTTAGTGAGTGCATACATTTTCATACAGGCCCCCCATGGGAAACGAACCCACAACCCTGGCGTTGCAAGCGCCATGCTCTACCAACTGAGCTACAGGGGACTTATGGCTTGGGGGTAGTGGTTGTTAAGGAAAATGTTGGACCTAGACTTGGCGCTCCGGTACCGCTTGCCGTGCGGTAGCAGAAAGAACAGTCTATGACTTGGGTGACTGGAGTCTTTGACAATTTTTTGGGCCTTCCTCTGACACCATCTAGTATATAGGTCCTGGATGGCAGGAAGCTTGGCCCCAGTGTACTGGGCCATATGCAATACCCTCTGTAGCACCTTACGGTTGGATGCCGAGCAGGGATGCTCTCAGTGGTGCAGCTGTAGGATCTGGGGACCCCCATACCAAATCTTTTTAGTCTCCTGAGGGGGTAAAGGCGTTGTCGTGCCCTCTTCACAACTTTCTTGGTGTGTTTGGACCATGATAGTTTGTTGGTGATGTGGACACCAAGGAACTTGAAACTCTCAACCCGCTCCACTACAGCCCTGTCGATGTGAATGGGGGCATGTTCGGCCCTCCTTGTTACAGCACAGCCTTATTCTAAAATGGATGAAATAGTTTCCCCCCCCCCCTCATCAATCTACACAGAATACCCCATAATACCAAAGCAAAAACAGCTAAAAAACAACAACTTGCAAATGTATTAAGAATTTAAAACTGAAATATCACATTAAGGGCCACATTGAGTTTTTGAAACCAAATGAAGGGCCACATACTATATACGTGACAAAACATGTGAAGCCTTTATTCATTTTCTCATTGACATGCAACTACTAGTCTACTGTAGGTGTACATCTGCTTGCAGAACAATTCTACCCTTGTACCATCTCTACCCTGTCACAAAAGTTTCTCAAAATTGATATAATATATAACATCACAGACACAGTCAAACACACACACAGATCCTGCATCTCTACCCTTGTAAAGTACAATCAAACTTACAGTCACAATATGCAAACTTAAAAATAGATATACAGTGGCTTGCGAAAGTATTCAACCCCCTTGGCATTTTTCCTATTTTGTTGCCTAACAACCTGGAATTAAAATAGATTTTTGGGGGGTTTGTATCATTTGATTTACACAACATGCCTACCACTTTGAAGATGTAAAATATGTTTTATTGTGAAACAAACAAGAAATAAGACAAAAAAACAGAAAACTTCAGCGTGCATAACTATTCACCCCCCCAAAGTCAATACTTTGTAGAGCCACCTTTTGCAGCAATTACAGCTGCAAGTCTCTTGGGGTATGTCTCTATAAGCTTGGCACATCTAGCCACTGGGTTTTTTGCCTATTCTTCAAGGCAAAAGTGCTCCAGCTCCTTCAAGTTGAATGGGTTCCGCTGGTGTACAGCAATCTTTAAATCATACCACAGATTCTCAATTGGATTGAGGTCTGGGCTATGACAAGGCCATTCCAAGACATTTAAATGTTTCCCCTTAAACCACTCAAGTGTTGCTTTAACAGTATGCTTAGGGTCATTGTCCTGCTGGAAGGTGAACCTCCGTCCCAGTCTCAAATCTCTGGAAGACTGAAACAGGTTTCCCTCAAGAATTTCGCTGTAATTTCGCTCATTCCTTCAATTCTGACCAGTTTCCCAGTCCCTGCCGATGAAAAACATCCCCACAGCATGATGCTGCTATCACCATGCTTCACTGTGGGGATTGTGTTCTCGGGGTGATGAGAGGTGTTGGGTTTGCGCCAGACATAGCGTTTTCATTGATGGCCAAAAAGCTCAATTTTAGTTTCATCTGACCAGAGTACCTTCTTCCATATGTTTGGGGAGTCTCTCAAATGCCTTTTGGCGAACACCAAACGTGTTTGCTTATTTGTTTCTTTAAGCAATGCCTTTTTTCTGGCCACTCTTCCTTAAAGCCCAGCTATGTTGAGTGTACAGCTTAAAGTGGTCCTATGGACAGATACTCCAATCTCCGCTGTGGAGCTTTGCAGCTCCTTCAGGGTTATCTTTGGTCTCTTTGTTGCCTCTGATTAATAGCCTCCTTGCCTGGTCTGTGAGTTTTGGTGGGCAGCCCTCTCTTGGCAGGTTTGTTGTGGTGCCATATTCTTTCATTTTTTTAATAATGGATTTAATGGTGCTCCGTGGGATGTTCAAAGTTTCAGATTTTTTTTTACAACCCAACCCTGATCTGTATTTCTCCACAACTTTGTCCCTGACCTGTTTGGAGAGCTCCTTGGTCTTCATGGTGCCACTTGCTTGGTGGTGCCCCTTGCTTAGTGGTGTTGCAGACTCTGGGGCCTTTCAGAACAGGTGTATATATCCTGAGATCATGTGACAGATCATGTGACACTTAGATTGCACACAGGTGGACTTTATTTAACTTATTATGTGACTTCTGAAGGTAATTGGTTGCACCAGATCTTATTTAGGGGCTTCATAGCAAAGGGGGTGAATACATATGCACGCACCACTTTTCCGTTATTGATTTTTTTGAATTGTTTAAACTTTTTTTCACTTCACCAATTTGGACTATTTCGTGTATGTCCATTACATGAAATCGAAATAAAAATCAATTTAAATTACAGGTTGTCATGCAACAAAATAGGAAAAATGCCAAGGGGGATGAATACGTTTGCAAGGCACTGTATATTATATGACTGGAGACATGCAAAATGTAACAGCAGATGTGTAAAAAAGATGATTCTAAAATTTGAGTGAAACATATAGTAAGAGCATCCAATCCATTTCATTTGGAATGGTCTGTTTTTGAAAGCATATTAAGGAACAATTCTCATCTCCATTGTGAGACATATTTTCAGTTATCCAATCACCTCATCCCAAATCTGACTGATTAGTTATTACCTGTATCCAAGTGCATTGCTGGATAATTCTCACTGCATAACCATCACCATGAAAAAGCATAATTATTGCCTACCCCTGTCATGGTTAATCAAGTCTTAATGTGAACAATGGGTCTGGTCACCTCTCTTGGCAAGGGCATCAAAGTCTGGTGTCATCTTTGATGTAGAGATTCTCAGAACAGCTGACAAGTGATCATTTGTTAAATTTGACCTGTGATGGGATTTGTTGTAATTCATGACTGAGAACGTTTGTTCACACACATATGTGGACCCGAATTAAATAAGTATCCTTTGGGCGTGCTTTTTAATGTTTGGAAAATTGTTTAATTCAGTGAGCCATAGAACTGGTCTATTGTTGCTGTTTTTTACTTATCCTTCAAAGCACTTTCACATTGGATGTCGATGAGCTCCAATTGTGTGTCTGTTGGTGCTTTCTCACTGTCAAAAGACAGGGGGCATGATGCAAGCTCCAGCTCAGTCTCAATCTTGGTGAAGTCTGAGAAGCGGCGGGAAAACTCAGCATGCAGGTTGATCAAAGTGCTACTGTATGTCTCAGTGCGGCACTGCAATGTGGGCGCGTTCAGTGTGTCCAGTGTCGGAAAATGAGCGAGAGACCGGCTGCTCATTTGTCTGGAGAACAACATAAGTTTAGCCTTGAATGCTTTCACGTTGGAATACAGTTCATGCACAAAAACACAATTTCCCTGCAGTTTCACATTTTGATCGTTCAGATGCCCCAATATGTCCACACCTGAAGAAAAGTCGCCCAGTCGCGCCAGTCTGTCTTTCAACTCGGAGAAGTCGTCAGCTTTACCAACCGGAACAAACCTATCTCCCCTCTCAGTTCGGGTGATCAGGCCTACCATGACGGTGGGAGGAGGTCGGTGACCTGGCAGTGTGGTGCCAGGACAACAACCTCTACCTCAACGTCAGCAAGACAAAGGAGCTGATAGTGTAATGCTTGGCATCCGACCGCAAGGCGCTACAGAGGGTAGTGCATACGGCCCTACATCACTGGGGCTGAGCTCCCTGCCATCCAGGACCTCTATACCAGGCTGTGTCAGAGGAAAGCCCTAAGAATTGTTAAAAACTCCAGCCACCCAAGTCATACACTGTTGACTTTCTGCTACCGCACGGCAAGCGATACCGATGCACCAAGTCTGGAACTAACAGGACCATGAACAGATTCTACCCCCAAGCCATAAGACTGCTAAAAAGTTAACCAGATAGCTACCCGCACTATTTGCACTCTCTTTTGACTCATCACATACACTGCTGCTACTGTTTATGATCTATCCTGTTGCCTAGTCACTTTACCCCTACCTATATGTACAGTGCCTTCAGAAAGTATTCATACCCCTTGACATATTCCACATTTTGTTGCGTTACAGCCTGAATTCAAAATGTATTAAATTCATTTTTTTCTCACCCATCTACAGACAATACCCCATAATGACAAAGTGAAAACATTTTTCTGGAAATGTTTGCAAATGTATTGAAAATGAAATACAGAAATAACCTATTTACATAAGTATTCACACCCTTGAGTCAATACTTTGTAGAAGCACCTTTGGCAGCGATTAAAGCCGTGAGAGTCTTTCTGGGTAAGTCTCTAAGAGATTTCCAGACCTGGATTGTGCAACATTTGCCTATTATTATTTTCAAAAATCTTCAAGCTCTGTCAAATTGGTTGTTGATCATTGCTAGACAACGATTTGCAGGTCTTGACAAAGATTTTCAAGTAGATTTAAGTCAAAACTGTAACTCGGCCACTCAGGAACATTCACTGTCTTCTTGGTAAGGAACTCCAGTGTAGAGTTGGCCTTGTGTTTTAGGTTATTGTCCTGCTGAAAGGTGAATTCATCTCCCAGTGTCTGGTGGAAAGCAGACTGAACCAGGTTTCCTCTAGGGTTTTGCCTGTGCCATTTATCTTTTATCCTGAAAAACTCCCAAGTTCTTAACGATTATAAGCATACCCATAACATGATGCAGCCACCACTATGCTTGAAAATATGGAGAATGGTACTCAGTAATGTGTTGTATTGGATTTTCCCCTAACATACATTTTGTATTCAGCTCAAAAAGTGAATTGCTTTGCCACATTTGCTGTATTACTTTAGTGCCTTGTTGTAAACAGGATGCATGTTTTGGAATATTTAGGAAGGACACCTGTATCTTTGTAGTGACTGGGTGTATTGATACACCATCCAAAGTGTTTTTAATAACTTCACCATGCTCAAATGGATATTCAAAGTCTGCTTTTTTATTTTTAGCCATCTACCAATAGGTGCCATCCATTGCAAGACATTGGAAAACCTCCCTGGTCTTTGTGGTTGAATCTGTGTTTGAAATTCCTTGCTCGACTGAGGGATCTTAGAGATAATTGTATGTGTGGGGTACAGAGATGAGGTAGTTATTCAAAAATCCTGTTAAACACTATTATTGCAAACAGAGTGAGTCCATGCAACTTATTATGTGACTTGTTAAGCAAATGTTTTACTACTGAACTTATTTAGGCTTGCCATAACAAAGGGGTTGAATACTTATTTCAGCTTTTCATTTCAGCTTTTCATTTTGTATTAATTTGTAAACATTTCTAAAAACATCATTCCATTTTGACATTATGGGGTATTGTGAGTAGGCCAGTGAAAATGTTTTTTAAATGTAGCGTAACAAGATGTGGAAAAAGTCAAGGGGTGTGAATACTGTATCTACCTCAATTACCTCGTAGCCTGCACGTCAACTCGGTACTGGTACCCCGTGTATATAGCCAAGTTATCAGTGTTAGCTGTGCCACTAGAGATCCTGGTTCGAATCCAGGCTCTGTCGTAGCCGGCCGCGACCGGGAGACCCATGGGACGGCGCATAATTGGCCCAGCGTCGTCCAGGGTAGGGGGAGGGAATGGCCGGCAGGGATGTAGCTCGGTTGGTGGAGCGTGGCGTTTGCAACGCCAGGGTTGTGGGTTCGTTTCCCACGGGGGGCCAGTATGATAAATATAAAATAATGTATGCGCTAACTGTAAGTCACTCTGGATAAGAGCGTCTGCTAAATTACTGTAATGTAATGTAATGTTATCGTTACTCATTCTGTATTTATTCCTTGTGTTATTCTTTTTCTATTCTTTTTCCATTTTTCTCTCTGCATTGTTGGGAAGGGCCCGTAAGTAAGCATTTCACTGTTAGTCTACACCTGTTTTCTACGAAGCATGTGACACAATAACATTAGATTTGATTGGATTTACAGGTTATGGAAAATGTGCTATTTTATTATTTCTCCATTATGTTTCCTCAAGGAGAAAGACTCCACTTCTATGTCAAAGATATTAACACTAAAACACTATAGTAAATAATAGAGCAATGTCTGCAAAAACTACTGTAAATACTACAGTATACTACAGTCTGCAAAAACACTACAGTAAATATTACAGTATACTACAGTCTGCTAAAACACTACAGTAAATACTGCAGTATACTACAATCCGCAAAAACGCTACATTAATTACTTAAGCAATAAGGCCCAAGGGGGTGTGGTATATGGCCAATATACCACGGCTAAGGGCTGTTCTAATGCACGGCGTAACGTGGAGTGCCTGGATACAGCCCCTAGCCATGGTATATTGGTCATATACCACAAACCCCCGAAGTGCCTTATTGCCATTATAAACTGGTTACCAATGTAATTAGAGCAGTAAAAATAAATGTTTTGTCATAACCGTGGTATACGGTCTGATATAACACGGCTGGCAGCCAATCAGCATTCAGGGCTCGAACCACCACATTCATAATATAGTATATACTACAGTTTTATTTTACTACATTATTTATACTATAGTTAACTATAAATACTACAGTGAATACTACAGTAAAGTCTGCAAAAACACTACAATGAATACTATAGTATTTTTTTTATGTGGGATTAATCACATAATAATATCATGTTATTGTAATATTTTGTGCAGCATGCTGTGGCATCTCTCTCATTATGTAAGCTATATGTACAATCTTAGAAAAAAGGGCTCCAAAAGGGTTCTTCGGCTGTCCCCATAGGAGAACCCTTTTTGGTTCCAGGTAGAACTCTTTAGGTTCTAGATTGCACCTTTTTATCTAAAAGTGTACAGATGATGGGTGACATTTTCTGTCCAATGCACAAACCTTAAAGTGAGCAAAATAGTGGCGAGCTTACCAAAAACAACCATCTCATTTCAAATGGACGGTACGGCAACACTGCAAAATAAGTTTGGAATATTGTATTGGTACGGGCATTGTGTGTGTGTGTGTATCTGCATTGACTCACCCTGGTACGTGCGGTTCCACATCCTCTTGGTGACGGTGTCCCCTCGCGGCCGGCCTCCTCCCTCGGCCATGGTCTCGTTCAGGGCCTGAGAGTAAAGCATTACCCCGTCATAGAAGCCTCCTGCTATCAGGTTTGTCTAGAAAGATGGAGGGAGGAGGACCGTCATCAAATCTCTGTTATATCCACTCTCATACCATCTGTTGTTATCTCCTCTTCATCTGTTTATTGTTACTTACTTTCTACCTGTCTATCTTATACTCCACTTTCTATGCCTCTACCTCGCCCTACCTTTGTGTACTGTATTCTGTGTACACGTCTGAGAGTATCCATAACAGTGTGTGCGTTTGTGTGTGGGTTTGTGTGGGTTTGTCTACATGTTGTTGTGCGTGAGTCCGAGTCAAGCCTGTATGTGACTCTGTGTTTGTAAGCACGACTGTGTGTCTTGAATGGACCTTGAAAGAGGTCAAGCTGACATAGGGATTATTTACTGGCCCCGAATGGAACTGTGTAACTATAACTATTATAGAAAACCTGTATTTGTTTGGGTTAGAGCCCAGACTAGGAGCTGGGATTTACACGTGTGCCCAAACTGGCCATATCTCCTCATCACTCAGACATGGAGAAACATATCCTATTCCCCTGTGGTTAGAACTCTGTCTAACCTCCCACTGTGGACATGGGACAACTGGAGAAGCCCTGCAAATAAACCTAGAAGATGCTGTAAATGGCACGGTCCACTGGAATGTCCTCTGAGTAGCTTCGTATCTTTGAGTGAATCATCATTCAAGCCAGAACAGAACAGCGCCGGAGAAGATGGCTGCAGTTTTACAGCCCTCTAACCAATTGTACTATTATGTGTGTTTTTCCGCGTTATTTGTAATTTATTTTGTACATAATGTTTCTGCCATCGTCTCTTATAACCAAAAAGAGCTTCTGGATATCAGGACAGCGATTACTCACCTCGTATTGGACGAAGATTTTTTCTTCAACGAGGCGGCCGCGAAGGATATCATACAGACACCCGACAAGGCCCAAATCCCCGTCATTCGCGTGAGGAAGAGACGGAGATATCGCGGACGGAGATCGGGGTGCTTGTAAAGATCCGACGGCGAGCGAGTAAACTGCCTCTTCCATCAATCCTATTAGCCAACGTTCAATCTTTTGAAAATAAAATGGACGATTTAAGATTACGGTTATCCTACCAACGGGACATTAAAAACTGTAATATCTTATGTTTCACGGAGTCGTGGCTGAACGACAACAATGATAACATTCAGCTAGCAGGCTATACGCTACATCGGCAGGACAGAACGGCTGACTCCGGTAAGACAAGGGGTGGCGGTCTGTGTATATTTGTAAACAACAGCTGGTGCACAAAATCAAATACTAAGGAAGTCTCGAGGTTTTGCTCGCCTGAGGTAGAGTATCTTATGATAAGCTGTAGACCACACTATTTACCAAGAGAGTTTTCATCTATATTTTTCATAGCTGTCTATTTACCACCACAAACCAATGCTGGCATTAAGATTGCACTGAATGAGTTGTACAAGGCCATTAATCAACAGGAAAACGCTCATCCAGATGCAGCGCTCCTAGTGGCCGGGGACTTTAATGCAGGGAAACTTAAATCCGTTCTACCTAATTTCTACCAGCATGTTAAATGTGCAACCAGAGGGAAAAAAACTCTAGACCACCTTTACTCCACACACAGAGACGCATACAAAGCTCTCCCTCGCCCTCCATTTGGCAAATCTGACCATAACTCTATCCTCCTGATTCCTGCTTATAAGCAAAAACTAAAGCAGGAAGCACCAGTGACTCGGTTAATAAAAAAGTGGTCAGATGACGCAGATGCTAAGCTACAGGACTGTTTTGCTAGCACAGACTGGAACATGTTCTGGGATTCTTCAGACAGCATTGAGGAGTACACCACATCAGTCACTGGCTTCATCAATAAGTGCATCGATGATGTCATCCCCACAGTGACCGTACGTACATACCCCAACCAGAAGCCATGGATTACAGGAAACATCCGCACTGAGCTAAAGGGTAGAGCTGCCGCTATGACCTCCGACGAACCATCAAACAGGCAAAGAGTCAATACAGGTCTAAGATTGAATCATACTACACTGGCTCTGACGCTCGTCGGATGTGGCAGGGCTTGAAAACTATTACAGACTACAAAGGGAAGCACAGCCGCGAGCTGCCCAGTGACACAAGCCTACAAGACGAGCTAAACCACTTCTATGTTCGCTTCGAGGCAAGCAACACTGAAGCATGCATGAGAGCACCAGCTGTTCCGGATGACTATGTGATCACGCTCTCCGTAGCCGATGTGAGTAAGACTTTTAAGCAGGTCAACATTCACAAGGCCGCAGGGCCAGACGGATTACCAGGACGTGTACTCCGAGCATGTGCTGACCAACTGGCAAGTGTCTTCACTGACATTTTCAACATGTCCCTGACTGAGTCTGTAATACCAACATGTTTCAAGCAGACCACCATAGTCCCCGTGCCCAAGGACTCTAAGATAACCTGCCTAAATGACTACCGACCCGTAGCACTGACGTCTGTAGCCATGAAGTGCTTTGAAAGACTGGTCATGGCTCACATCAACAGCATTATCCCAGAAACCCTAGACCCACTCCAATTTGCATACCGCCCCAACAGATCCACAGATGATGCAATCTCTATCGCACTCCACACTGCCCTTTCCCACCTGGACAAGAGGAACACCTACGTGAGAATGCTATTCATTGACTACAGCTCAGCATTCAACACCATAGTGCCCTCTAAGCTCATCACTAAGCTAAGGATCCTGGGACTAAACACCTCCCTCTGCAACTGGATCCTGGACTTCCTGACGGGCCGCCCCCAGGTGGTAAGGGTAGGTAACAACACATCTGCCACACTGATCCTCAACACGGGGGCCCCTCAGGGGTGCGTGCTGAATCCCCTCCTGTACTCTCTGTTCACCCATGACTGCATGGCCAGGCACGACTCCAACACCATCATTAAGTTTGCCGACGACACAACAGTGGTAGGCCTGATCACCGACAACGATGAGACAGCCTATAGGGAGGAGGTCAGAGATCTGGCCGTGTGGTGCCAGGACAACAACCTCTCCCTCAACGTGACCAAGACAAAGGAGATGATTGTGGACTACAGGAAAAAAAAGAGGACTGAGCACGCCCCCATTCTCATCGATGGGGCTGTAGTGGAACAGGTTGAGAGCTTCAAGTTCCTTGGTGTCCACATCACCAACGAACTATCATGGTCCAAACACACCAAGACAGTCGTGAAGAGGGCACGACAAAGCCTATTCCCCCTCAGGAGACTAAAAAGATTTGGCATGGGTCCTCAGATCCTCAAAAAATTCTACAGCTGCACCATCGAGAGCATCCTGACTGGTTGCATCACCGCCTGGTATGGCAACTGCTTGGCCTCCGACCGCAAGGCACTACAGAGGGTAGTGCGTACGGCCCAGTACATCACTGGGGCAAAGCTTCCTGCCATCCAGGACCTCTATACCAGGCGGTGTCAGAGGAAGGCCCTCAAAATTGTCAAAGACTCCAGCCACCCTAGTCATAGACTGTTCTCTCTGCTACCGCACGGCAAGCGGTACCGGAGTGCCAAGTCTAGGTCCAAAAGACTTCTCAACAGCTTCTACCCCCAAGCCATAAGACTCCTGAACAGCTAATCATGGCTACCCGGACTATTTGCACTGCCCCCCCACCCCATCCTTTTTACGCTGCTGCTACTCTGTTAAGTATTTATGCACAGTCACTTTAACTCTACCCACATGTACATATTACCTCAACTACCTCAACTAGCCGGTGCCCCCGCACATTGACTCTGCAACGGTACCCCCCTGTATATATAGCCTCCCTAATGTCACTTTATTTTACTTCTGCTCTTTTTTTCTCAACACTTTTTTTGTTGTTGTTTTATTCTTACTTTTTTTTTTTAAATAAATGCACTGTTGGTTAAGGGCTGTAAGTAAGCATTTCACTGTAATGTCTGCACCTGTTGTATTCGGCGCATGTGACCAATACAATTTGATTTGATTTGATCTACAGTCAGGTCCAGAATTATTGGCACCGTTGATAAAGATGAGAAAAAAATACTGAGCTATATTGTATGCTAAAAAAAATGGGAACATTCTTTTTAATTTCTCAAAGAAAGAGATTTAGTTTTTTTCTCAAAAAGATAGGGGTCAAATTTATTGACACCCCTGTTTTCAATACCTTTCAATACCTCACATTGTGAGGATAACGGCACTGAGACTTTTTCTAAAATGTTTTATGAGACTGGGAGGGATCTTAGACCATTCCTCCGTACAGAATCTTTCCAGATCCTTGATATCCTTCGTCTGTGCTTATGGACTGCCCTCTTCATTTCAAACCACAGGTTTCCATTGCAAAATGTGGATTTTGTGGTCAATTAACCATTTATTTGTGGATTTTTATGTGTTATTGTCTTGCTGGAAGATCCACTTGAATACAATGTTAATCCCTCTGGCAGAGGCAAATAGGTTTTTGGCTAAAATGTCCGGGTACTGGAAAAGTTAATGTTGCCGTTGACCTTAAGAAGAGTCCAAGGACCAGTGTTTTTTATATTACTTTTTATCACTTGTTAAACAAAATATATTTCTCTGAGCAATTGTATTAGTTTAAAATAATATAATTTAAAAATAATTGGGAGGATACTTTATAGCTCAGTATTTGTATTATTGATTTTATACAGTCTTTTTTGCTCATCTTTATCAAGGGTGCCAATAATTCTGGACCTGACTGTATGCCCATTCATCCATCCATCTATCCATCCAACCACCCACCCTCCAGCAAACCTTAAAATCCAAGCAATGTTAGCTAAAACATTGCCAACAAACTATACACCCACCCATCCAACCAACCAACTATTCCTTCATACATTAATCAAACATAAGCTTAATATAAGCAAACATTATGTTTATTTAGTCAGTTCTCTTCTCTGTCTGTTTCTGTTTAAATTGACCTTCAACTCTGTACATGTTGTGGGATCCAGTGTGTATTTACAGTAGCGACTGGATTTTAGTGACTCATGCTGTGGTAGGTATTTTGACAGCTGCTCTCATTGTTGTCCACAGGTAACAAGGGATGAAGATATGAAGGAGTTTAATGATGAAACTATCTCCAAAGCATGCAGCAGTAGTTGTAGGGGTGAGCAAAATAACTTCCAATATGGGCATTAAAGATTTGGGCAGCTGAAAGACTTACTATGTCGAAAACAGTGGCCAGGTGGACTCATTCAAGCCCAGTACAGACACATGGAAGAGAGAAAAATAAAGCTTGGGATATGGAGAGAGCTGAACAGAGAGATATCAGAGTAGCAGACAGGTAGGTAGGTGTTCATTGGCAAAAGTCAGAAAGAAGGACAGACGGACGGACCAGCGGATGGACAGACAGACAGACAAAAACCCAATTTATGTTAGAAAAGGTACGTTTCGTCCTGGTGAGTCGCAGACAGATGTGACGGCAAAGCAGACAGAATTAAGTGCGTGTTGGCCACAGTGGAGTGGCACAGAAGTGTGTCTGCGACCCACCAGGACGCCACTTTTCTACCATAAATATGGCTTAAAGGCCCAGTGCAGTCAAAAACATGATTTCCCTGTGTTTTCTATATTCTTCCACACTATGAAGTTGGAATAATACTGTGAATTTGTGAAAATGATGATAATGCCCTTTCAGTGTAAGAGCTGTTTGAAAAGACGGCTTGTTTTTGGTGGGATGGAGTTTTGGCCTGTCTGGTGACATCACGGTAAACTGGTTAACAGACAAATAAGAAAGAGAGTTCCAAACCTCTCTGCCAATAACAGCTAGTTTTCAGCCCACTCCCAGAAAGTAAAATTTTTGCTTGAGAAATTGCTCTTTGCTAAGAAGCTATTTTTGTTTCTTTTTTACCATTTTAATTGAAAACAATCACAGTTAGGTACTTAATTGTTACCCAGAAAGGATTTTATATTGAGATAAAATGGCTGCATTGGACCTTTAACAGGCAGGCAGGCAGGCAGACACAGGTACATGAGCTGGCCCCTGAGCGAAGAACTGTCCCCACACTCCATCCCTCGCTGGCTCTAATAAAGGTGGAGCGCCTGCCACCCACATCTCTCGTTCAGCACTTTAGCATGCGTCACCTAGGGATGTTGAGTACCAATTTAAGCTCTCTCACAGACGACAGCCCTGAATTTTAGCCAGGCAGCTCTCTACACCCACACTCCCCATACACCTCACAGTCACTATATTACCACTCACAACTCAAAACATAATAACATCATTTATATACCTTGACATGGTTTCACACAATGAATGTCTTGCACAATACGTGTCATTTCCTAAATCTTCATAGAGACATTTTAATTTGTGTATTTAGGTGAAACTTACTATGTCGCCCACACAAATGCAATGTGATCTAAAGATGCATGGAACTGCTTTCACGAGCTGACAAATCCACATAGATGTTTAGCCTGAACTTTAGCCCCTTTCTCATAGTGTAATAAGCAGGGCTGCTCAAGTACACTTTCCCAATTCGGATATCATCAAGTTTTCCTAAGTGCCAAATGAGAGGGGAAGCGTAACTTTCTACCTTTCCTGGACTGCTGCTGTGCTAATTAATGACCAGCTCACTAGCTTCCTAACTGAGGGGCCATTGATTGGGTTGAGACTAGAGATACTGGAGTGTGACAAAGCCCTGTCACTCGAATTAGCTCAGCCCCGCCATGCTTATGAGAGTCTGTGAGAGATTTTCCAACAACCTTAGCTCACTGACTTTGAACCCAGCAGTGGCTATAAAGCAACAGTTTGTTATTTTCCATAAACAATATGACGCCACAGACCAAAAAGATCCCTAAAATCTTCCCAAGAGGAGATACAGTGGGGGAAAAAAGTATTTAGTCAGCCACCAATTGTGCAAGTTCTCCCACTTAAAAAGATGAGAGAGGCCTGTAATTTTCATCATAGGTACACGTCAACTATGACAGACAAAATGAGAAAGAAAATTCCAGAAAATCACATTGTAGGATTTTTTATGAATTTATTTGCAAATTATGGTGGAAAATAAGTATTTGGTCAATAACAAAAGTTTCTCAATACTTTGTTATATACCCTTTGTTGGCAATGACACAGGTCAAACGTTTTCTGTAAGTCTTCACAAGGTTTTCACACACTGTTGCTGGTATTTTGGCCCATTCCTCCATGCAGATCTCCTCTAGAGCAGTGATGTTTTGGGGCTGTCGCTGGGCAACACGGACTTTCAACTCCCTCCAAAGATTTTCTATGGGGTTGAGATCTGGAGACTGGCTAGGCCACTCCAGGACCTTGAAATGCTTCTTACGAAGCCACTCCTTCGTTGCCCGGGCGGTGTATTTGGGATCATTGTCATGCTGAAAGACCCAGCCACGTTTCATCTTCAATGCCCTTGCTGATGGAAGGAGGTTTTCACTCAAAATCTCACGATACATGGCCCCATTCATTCTTTCCTTTACACGGATCAGTCGTCCTGGTCCCTTTGCAGAAAAACAGCCCCAAAGCATGATGTTTCCACCCCCATGCTTCACAGTAGGTATGGTGTTCTTTGGATGCAACTCAGCATTCTTTGTCCTCCAAACACGACGAGTTGAGTTTTTACCAAAAAGTTCTATTTTGGTTTCATCTGACCATATGACATTCTCCCAATCCTCTTCTGGATCATCCAAATGCACTCTAGCAAACTTCAGACGGGCCTGGACATGTACTGGCTTAAGCAGGGGGACACGTCTGGCACTGCAGGATTTGAGTCCCTGGCGGCATGGTGTGTTACTGATGGTAGGCTTTGTTACTTTGGTCCCAGCTCTCTGCAGGTCATTCACTAGGTCCCCCCGTGTGGTTCTGGGATTTTTGCTCACCGTTCTTGTGATCATTTCGACCCCACGGGGTGAGATCTTGCGTGGAGCCCCAGATCGAGGGAGATGATCAGTGGTCTTGTATGTCTTCCATTTCCTAATAATTGCTCCCACAGTTGATTTCTTCAAACCAAGCTGCTTACCTATTGCAGATTCAGTCTTCCCAGCCTGGTGCAGGTCTACAATTTTGTTTCTGGTGTCCTTTGACAGCTCTTTGGTCTTGGCCATAGTGGAGTTTGGAGTGTGACTGTTTGAGGTTGTGGACAGGTGTCTTTTATACTGATAACAAGTTCAAACAGGTGCCATTAATACAGGTAACGAGTGGAGGACAGAGGAGCCTCTTAAAGAAGAAGTTACAGGTCTGTGAGAGCCAGAAATATTGCTTGTTTGTAGGTGACCAAATACTTATTTTCCACCATAATTTGCAAATAAATTCATAAAAAATCCTACAATGTGATTTTCTTGATTTTTTTCTTCTCAATTTGTCTGTCATAGTTGACGTGTACCTATGATGAAAATTACAGGCCTGTCTCATCTTTTTAAGTGGGAGAACTTGCACAATTGGTGGCTGACTAAATACTTTTTTCCCCCACTGTATGTAACTCAATATGCTCTATTTGACAGATAAATCCCTATTTGCATTGTAAAAAGACCTGTGGCATAACTTCATCCATCGAAAGCCAGGTTTGTGTGGAAAATATACACTCCAGCAAGCCCAATAATCCACTTAGAAAACAGGGTGACGCATGAGAATCATGAATGCTACTACTGTAGGTTTCAGCACCAGGATTCTCAGAGACAGAAAAAGCAGTAAGCCATTGGCAGTCAGCCAATTTTAATTTCCGCAAGATGCTTCTGTGCAGTATATCTCATTGAGAGCTTGTTATCAGTTCTATAACCTATATTCTATTAGCATAGCCAAAAAGAGCACCGTTTTTTAAATGAATGCATAGTTAACCATTTATTATAGCAATGGTTACCAGAACTGCATGTCCCAACATGCAGAATTTAGCATTTAAGTGTAACATCTAAATCTGTTGCCAGACAACAGCCTAATTAAGTTGTAATTTTACTTGACAATCATACTTAGGGATTGTGCAAACCAAGTGCAATGAAATTACTATTTCTAGATGACTTTAAAATACTGGAATTGAAATGCAACACCTATACTTACAGTTTTATAATTGCATACCGGTAATCAAGATAATTCTATAATAGCAAATCCAGCCAGAGCCAGAAGGCAAAACGCCAGAATGTTCATTTTCTACACTCTTAGAAAAAAGGGTTCCAAAAGGGTTCTTCAGCTGTACACATAGGATAACCCTTTTTGGTTCCAGGGAGAACCCTTTTTGGTTCCAGGTAAAAACCATTTTGGGTCCCAGATAGAACCCTCTGTGGAAAGGGTTCTACCTGGAACAAAAAAGGGTTCTTCAAAGGGTTCTCCTATGGGGACAGCCCCCAAAAATGTTTTGGTTCTAGATAGCACAATTTTTTTCTAAGGGTGTAGATTCAACGCATAGACTCCAATCTTCACCTTTATATAAATAATTAAAGCTAATGTTTTAGAACAAGACAGAAGAGAGAGAAAGAGAGAGAGACAGAGACAGAGACAGAGACAGAGACAGAGACAGAGACAGAGAGAGCGAGAGCGAGTGAGAGAGAGAGAGAGAGGGCAAAACTATCTAACTAAAGCGAAAGAGTGGAAGAGGAGAAAATATAGGGTAGAGGAAAATTGTGAAGGTGTTTTTTGACCACCCCATTTCAGTCACCAGAGGCTTGACTGGTATGCTCTGCCCTGAATAACTCATACAAGCTACATTTACCCAGTAAACCCTGTTGATGGAATGGGACAACCCAAGGATCTGTAGTGGGGACAATGAGGAATTACTGTAGCAGTATATCGTACAATTTTCAGTCCGTTCTTCATAGGACAGAATTAAATTAAAGAATAAACCCCGCCTTTGTTTTTTTACCATGAGATCCATAAGGACTGAGGGGAAATCATGAAAATTCTACAGCTTCTTGGATGTCCTCTCTTGTCCCAGCAGCCTTTGAAAGGTCATGCATTGTGAAGGCAGGTAGAGGCGGTACAGTTTGGGCCCATATCGGTAACTGTGAGCCAATAGATAAGCAGCAAGAGGCGATTCCATTTCTGTTGGTCTAGCAGTCTGTCTGTGGATCTGTCAGTGTGTTTGTTAATCTAATGGATGGGCAACTTTGATGGGGGTGGGGGCCACAAAAAAACGGAACTCATCATAAGGAGCCGCAGTGGCTCGTGGGTCTGCGTACCCACTTCCATCTACACATTTTGCCATTGGGGCTGAGGGAAGATTTTGCATGCGCCCGGTCCGCCACAGGAGTCGCTAGAGCGCGATGGGACAAGGACATCCCGGCCGGCCAAACCCTCCCCTAACCCGGACCACGCTGGGCCAATTATGCGTCGCCTCATGGGTCTCCCGGTCGCAGCTGGCTACGACACAGCCTGGGATCGAACCCGGATCTGTAGTGACGCCTCTAGCACTGCAGTGCCTTAGACCGCTGCGACACTTGGGAGGCCCCGACAGTAAGTCGAGACCCCGACTGAGTTCCAAAATCTTTTTAGGTATGATTTTTTGTATTGGTTCGCGAACCGCCAGTTGCCCATCCCTGGTCTAATTAATACTTTTTGTCTATTTAATTGTCTGTGGGTCTGAAAGAGGTACAATCCTTTCCAAAGTTGGATTTTCTTGAGTATTCATCCTCTGAATAAGAGAGACACCCTCTATTTCTTTGTCTCTACCACTCTCGCTCCAACAACATCTGTAGTTTTACTTTTACTGTCTTATTTCTACCTTCTTTCTATTCTGGTCTCTCCCTGCCTGTCGATCAACCTGTCAATCAACCAACAAAACCAGGCAAGCAACCAATCAGCCATTCCCACTTACCAGCGAGTCTTCTACGGTGAAGTTGAACATGTTCATGGCGTCCTTCTTCAGGTTGGACACAAACTCCAGGTACTCCGGGTTCTGTGGCTCTTTGTAGGTCAGGATCTTCACACTCTGTCAAGATAGATGAATGACAACCAGTCAGAAAAACGCAATAACATAACACATAACATATAGATTATGACATACACATTGCCATAGTCTCATGTTAGATATTGTACAAACACTCGTCAACTCCTGCGTCTCGTTTTAATTAGGGGTTCACAGCAAAACTGTGAAACCTATTGTTATTCTTAGCATAGATTGTTAACTTTTTTTTTTTTTTGGCACACATAAACTAGATGCCATGATTAACTTTGTCAAAAAGAATAGCACCAATTGGCCTATAGGTGGCGTTGTTATTAGCAGTCTCACTTAAACCCTCATTTCCACCGCCCTGTATGACCTAGAGACTTGAAACCTCATGCTGAACAAATTTGCCTCAAGAACACATAAGGTCCATCAGGATAGATTTTCCTCCATCTTGGAACTTTTGGAAAATACTTTGAAAAACTTATTCTCGTGAACCATAAATCCAAATAACACAAAATGCAGTATGTATGACCATGGTACATATCTTAACTTAGTTTGAGCTAAGGGATTGGTTAAGAAATGGCTGAGTTATTGATAAATCAGGAAATCTGATTTTATGTGTCCATTTAAATCCTCTGTAATTCCACTCCTTCGTAAATCCACTTAACACTTGAAACTTTTTAGGATCGTCAAAGACATTACCATGATGAACCATGTTTGGCATTGATATCTTCAAAAATAAGGAAACTATTAACAATTCACCTTTTTGATTATGTAACGCTAATGCTTAAAATAATCATAGAAAATCTTCTCTTGGACTAAAAGTCAGATTCACTCCAAATGTGGTCTTTGGACTCATCACAATTGTCCCTAAAGAGTTTGAGAAAATAACGTTGATGGCCACACTATTCTAGTAGATGCATATTAGCACATATGCTAAGATATGCATATGTGTCCATGGGGTGGCGCACAATTGGCCCAGCGTCGTCCAGGGTAGGGGAGGGTATGGCCGGCAGGGATGTAGCTCAGTTGGTAGAGCATGGCGTTTGCAACGCCAGGGTTGTGGGTTAGATTCCCACGGGGGGCCAGTATGAAAAAATAAATAATAATAATAATAATAATAATAATGTATGCACTCACTAACTGTAAGTCGCTCTGGATAAGAGTGTCTGCTAAATGACTAAAATGTAAAGGTGAAGACCAAGAAGGCAGAATCACTTTCCTTAAATATGCTACAAATATTTCAAAAATATTATACTCATGCACCATAGAACCAAATGACACCAAATGTGGAATGTAGGCCCATGGTACGTCTTAGCTTAGTTTAAGAAAGGGATTGGTCAAAAGATGGCTGAGTTACTGACAAATCAAAAATCAGATTTTACGTGTCCATTTAAAGAAAAGTAAATTCACTCTACAGTGGCCTATCAACTTGAAACTTGTCATCGCTATAATGGACGTCCCTAAGATGTCACACCCTGGTTCTGGGACTCATTATGTTGAGCCAGGGTGTGTGCAGTCTATGTGGTTTTGTTCTATGTTGGGTGTCAAAGTGTTGTATTTCTAGGTTTGGTCAATGACTCCCAATCGGAGGTAACGAGTGTCAGCTGTCGGCTCGTTATCTCTGATTGGGAGCCATATTTATTTCTGTATGTTTTCCTGTGGGGTTTGTGGGTTATTGTTCCGTGTTTCAGTATTTGTACTGTGGACTTCACGAGTCGTCTTTTGTTTTGTATTTTACGTGCTTACTCTAATTAAAGTCATGTTCGTTCAACGCGCTGCGCTTTGGTCTCCTTCACTCCTAGACGATCGTGACATAAGATGAACCACACTGAATTTCGTATTGATATCGTGAAAAACAAGGAAACTATTATTCTTTGCATATGTAATGCTAATTCTCAAAATAATTGTATCTTCATGAACCATAGTCAGATTCACTCCAGATGTTGTATTTGGACTCATGATTGCACATAAAGGAAGATAGTTCCTACACGATAGAGTGCTTGCTTTGTTATCCAACTGATCTTGTGTCCTTTCTGACATCCTGTGAACCCCGTTCATTGCTGCTCACAGATATATTTTTAATTGTAATGTATGCTACAACATAAGTCTTCATAAGCACTTGGTGGAGTTGGGGGGATACATCCTCCTAGATTAATAAGTATAATAGCTTAGCCTACAGCAAAACAACAATAGAAGAAGAAGCAAGTCTTTTCGTTTTTGTGGTAATAGACCATGTGCAACAATCAAATCTGTCCCTTGTCTATTATCCTCCTTTGTTCTTTCATCCAAAAGTTCCTTTTCTGTTTTCTTTTCCTCAATCAGTGTTGAGGCCTACAATGGGAAGTCCGGGCTTTACTGTCATTCAGCTCTGTGGCTAGTCGGGTTAAACCAATCTTCTACTAACTAAATCCACAGCTCTGTCACCCCAATTTCTGCAGAAATGACAGCCATGACTCTTGACTGTACTGCACACGTTCTTTCATCCGTGCATGATACACATGCATACACACTGTACTGTACACAACCATATTGGAGCTTGATAATGTTTGCAATTTTCCAACAATCAGTGTCTAAAATAAAACCATGACCAAGCAGGAACAACTGGTACACTGAAAAACCTGAATAACATGAGACTGGTATTTGGGGACAGAAAAGCAATTTCAACAGATAGGATTTATAAAAAACAAATTACATCTAATTTATTCATCATAATCTGTGAGTTTAAGATAGAGACTTCTGGGCTGCATCTCAATCCACTGCTTCCACCGGTGTCGGTAAAAATTACTTGAGGCGAATAGGGTCTTTTCACATCATAAGGGTACGGGGTCATTCCACATAAAAAAAAATACATCTGAAACATACTTCCTTTTGATTTATTTTTTGACTATCTGTCTTGCCATGTATGAATGTGTTATTCAATGCATTTCTATGGGCTAATAGCAGTAACATAATGACTAGAACGCCCACGTTGCATGCGCAAGCATTCCTAAATAAATGTACACATGTTATTCATGTGGCAGGTAGCTTAGTGGGTAAGAGCGTTGTGCCAGTAACCGAAAGGTCGCTGGTTCTAATCCCTGAGCCGACTAGGTGAAAAATCTGTCCATGTGCCCTTAAGCAAGGCACTTAACCCTAATTGCTCCTGTAAGTCGCTCTGGATAAGAGCGTCTGCTAAATGACTAAAGAATTTTTTTTAATCCAAACTGATTGCGTGTGTCAACGAGTGCCTGCGTAGCCAGGCTCTAAAATAGAACTTGGTCCCGCCTCTCCCATCTCCTCATTGCTTTTTAGGAGCATATATCCACGTGGCTGATTGAAAGATCGGTGGCAGTAATGCACCTTCAAGTTGGTTGCCAACCGCCATATAAAATCCACAGAAGAAGAAGAAGAATGAACGAGGAGAAAAACAAACTAGGTTTCCCCTTTATCTGTGGATTAATTGTCGGAGTAGAGAACACACAATTTTGTATGACTCAACATGGGTTAAAATTCGACCGACAAAGATCCAGCAAAAAAAAGGACCATATGCATTTCAGGTAAAATAACAACCCAATGTTTATTTTCCAGGACAAATTAGCTAGCAACAGCAAGCTAGCTAAATGTCCAGGAATGTTTCATGTGTGTTTCGACCTGTCCCCAAATTAATATAGTTGGCCCAACCCATCGGTTTTTGGGACTAGAATGTGTTTCCGTTCTAGAAATCGTTGGGGAGGAACTCATTGAGGAAAATAAACTAACGTCCGTGGGTGTGGCGTAGCGTTTAGTCAGAGCAAGGAGTCTGGGTAGGCAAATTACCATCTTAAAACAATTCCATATGTTAGCTTAGTACATATCGCCATCTAGAGGCTTAGACTCTAGGGGGTTAAGTGGTATGCTAGTGTGGATATTGGAACAAACCAAAATATATTTTTCTCATATCATTCTCTCTTGTAGGCCACATTTCATCACCTAAAATAGCTCATTGTGAGGCAAAATTCCATCCGATTAGCATAATTCCGTCCCTCTGTTTCCCTACCCGACCTCTGACTCATAATCCTTTTATATTTTTTCCTGTATTTTTGTATGTTCAATGCATTCACTACGTCTTTGTGATACGCTGCCTTCTTTAAATTTTCCGATCAATTTCTATTGCTTTTTCTTTCTCGCTCTTCTTATTGTATTGTAGACGGAAATCAATATATAACCCCCTGAACTGTACATACTGTCCATAGACCAAGTAATTGGTAATTTAACATGGCTGTATACATTTAAGCATTCTATAATGCTCAGGACGTGAGACATATTCTATTGATGTAATACATAGGAATGTATGACAAATGGGCTCTGTGCTACATATGACACTTTTAAGACTAGGGGCCCGGTCTCCCATGAGCTTGTGAGTAAAAACATGGCTGTAATTTAAGAATGTGGTGATAATGTTCAGACCACGCATTCTGCAAAAACTCAAGGATCTAAAAATCATACCAAACTTTATGCTGTACACTCTTAGAAAAAAAGGGTTCCAAAAGGTTATTCGGCTGTCCCTATAGGATAACCCTTTTTGGTTCCAGTTAGAGCCCTGTTTGGTTACAGCTAGAACCAAAGGGTTCTACCTGGAACCAAAAAGGGTTCTTCAAAGGGTTCTCCTTTGGGGACAGCTGAAGAACCCTTTTAGGTTCCAGATAGCACCTTTTTTTCTAAGAGTGTACTACCCAGTAAATGTGCTAATGAAGCTCTAGACTTTATTTGCGAAGGAGTGAAAAATATTTGATTTACAGTAAAGACTACAGTACATGGCTATTTAGGTTGAGAAAACATGCTGACAGCGCTGTACACAGCTGGCCATCCCCCTTGAGATGCAAGTTTTTTTCCAGTAGTGTGGTGCAGCTTGCATCTATTTAAAATGTCCGCCAGAGAGACAAACATAACTTCAATTCACTGTGCAAGTTTGTTTTGTCAAATGGTTTAGTATGCCGGGAAAATGGAGTAGCTTGGGTTAATTGACTGCAATACCAAGTTGTAACTGGTTGTAACATTGTAGATGTGGACTGGATTTGGGTCGTAATAGTTTTGCTATCTGGGTACTGTCATCAAGACAAGTCATTTGAATGCTTAATACACTATATTCCTTACTCAGTGTTATTCTATCTGACAGTGTAATGGGAGATATGCTACAGCTGGATATGTTTAGTTACATTATTTTCAATAGTCCTTTGTTCCTCAGTCATTCCTTTTCCTGTCTCTCATCCATTTCTCTCTTGAAAAAGGTACACATTTCACAGAAAGAACATGCATGTTTAGGCAACCACTCTCCAATTTTTCACTGGGTTAGTGCTATTTCCTTGAACTTCCTTTTTCACAATGTTCTCAAAATGTATCATGTACCTCTCATTACCTACCGATACAGCTGCATGGTTGATGCTTTTTTTCTCTTATCTGCTTCTCAGTCATCACTCATTTACCCTCCTTGCCTTTGTAATATCACTCATAACTCCAGTGCAGTATCCCACTAAATCCCTCTCCTACACCCCCTCCATTCCTCTTTACTAGGCTACCTGGTAAAAGTAGAGTTCAATAAAATCAAACAATTCTCTCATCCCTCCTTCATACCAGTCATATCTCACTCATAACTACAGCGTAATAACAACAATACATCCGATTTGTATAGTGCTTTTCCCAGACCCAAAGATGCAGTACCCACTAAATCCCATTAAATCCCTCTCCCATACCCCCTACTCATTCTACCCCTCCCTTCGTTCCTACAGACCTCCCTCTTCTATCCCTCTGTCATCCCCCTCTCACCCTGAAGGCCTTCTTAGCGGCGTGGTCGTCTGCGTCTCCTCTGTACCAGGGCCTAGCGGGCCGCTTCCTCAGGCTGTGGCCGAACAGGTCGATGAAGAAGAAAGCATAGTCCTCCGGGGGCAGGCCCTCCCTCCAGAACTGTACCATCAGCGTCCGGAAAGTGTCCCATGAGCAGCACATGTACACCACTGAAGAAGAAGAAGAAGAAGAAGAAGAGACAGAGAAGAGAGAATGTATCAAAGACATGTACAGTTGTGGTCAAAAGTTTTGAGAATGACACAAATATTAATTTTCACAAAGTCTGCTGCCTCAGTTTTTATGATGGCAATTTGCATATACACCAGAATGTTATGAAGAGTGATCAGATGAAATGCAATTAATTTCAATGTCCCTATTTGCCATGAAAATGAACTTAATCCCCAAAAAACATTTCCACTGCATTTCAGCCCTGCCACAAAAGGACCAGCTGACATCATGTCAGTGATTCTCTCGTTAACACAGGTGAGAGTGTTGACGAGGACAAGGCTGGAGATCACTCTGTCATACTGATTGAGTTAGAATAACAGACTGGAAGCTTTAAAAGCCCTCCATTTGACAAATCTGACCATAACTCTATCCTCCTGATTCCTGCTTATAAGCAAAAACTGAAGCAGGAAGCACCAGTGACTCGGCTAATAAAAAAGTGGTCAGATGACGCAGATGCTAAGCTACAGGACTGTTTTGCTAGCACAGACTGGAACATGTTCAGGGATTCTTCAGACAGCATTGAGGAGTACACCACATCAGTCACTGGCTTCATCAATAAGTGCATCGATGATGTCGTCCCCACAGTGACCGTACGTACATACCCCAACCAGAAGCCATGGATTACAGGAAACATCCGCACTGAGCTAAAGGGTAGAGCTGCCGCTTTCAAGGAACGGGACTCTAACCCGGACGCTTATAAGAAATCCCGCTATGACCTCCGACGAACCATCAAACAGGCAAAGAGTCAATACAGGTCTAAGATTGAATCATACTACACTGGCTCTGACGCTCGTCGGATGTGGCAGGGCTTGAAAACTATTACAGACTACAAAGGGAAGCACAGCCGCGAGCTGCCCAGTGACACAAGCCTACCAGACGAGCTAAACCACTTCTATGCTCGCTTCGAGGCAAGCAACACTGAAGCATGCATGAGAGCACCAGCTGTTCCGGACGACTATGTGATCACGCTCTCCGTAGCCGATGTGAGTAAGACTTTTAAGCAGGTCAACATTCACAAGGCCGCAGGGCCAGACGGATTACCAGGACGTGTACTCCGAGCATGTGCTGACCAACTGGCAAGTGTCTTCACTGACATTTTCAACATGTCCCTGACTGAGTCTGTAATACCAACATGTTTCAAGCAGACCACCATAGTCCCCGTGCCCAAGAACTCTAAGATAACCTGCCTAAATGACTACCGACCCGTGGCACTGACGTCTGTAGCCATGAAGTGCTTTGAAAGACTGGTCATGGCTCACATCAACAGCATAATCCCAGAAACCCTAGACCCACTCCAATTTGCATACCGCCCCAACAGATCCACAGATGATGCAATCTCTATCGCACTCCACACTGCCCTTTCCCACCTGGACAAGAGGAACACCTACGTGAGAATGCTATTCATTGACTACAGCTCAGCATTCAACACCATAGTGCCCTCAAAGCTCATCACTAAGCTAAGGATCCTGGGACTAAACACCTCCCTCTGCAACTGGATCCTGGACTTCCTGACGGGCCGCCCCCAGGTGGTAAGGGTAGGTAACAACACATCTGCCACACTGATCCTCAACACGGGGGCCCCTCAGGGGTGCGTGCTCAGTCCCCTCCTGTACTCTCTGTTCACCCATGACTGCATGGCCAGGCACGACTCCAACACCATCATTAAGTTTGCCGACGACACAACAGTGGTAGGCCTGATCACCGACAACGATGAGACAGCCTATAGGGAGGAGGTCAGAGATCTGGCCGTGTGGTGCCAGGACAACAACCTCTCCCTCAACGTGACCAAGACAAAGGAGATGATTGTGGACTACAGGAAAAAAAAGAGGACTGAGCACGCCCCCATTCTCATCGACGGGGCTGTAGTGGAACAGGTTGAGAGCTTCAAGTTCCTTGGTGTCCACATCACCAACGAACTATCATGGTCCAAACACACCAAGACAGTCGTGAAGAGGGCACGACAAAGCCTATTCCCCCTCAGGAGACTAAAAAGATTTGGCATGGGTCCTCAGATCCTCAAAAAATTCTACAGCTGCACCATCGAGAGCATCCTGACTGGTTGCATCACCGCCTGGTATGGCAACTGCTTGGCCTCTGACCGCAAGGCACTACAGAGGGTAGTGCGTACGGCCCAGTACATCACTGGGGCAAAGCTCCCTGCCATCCAGGACCTCTATACCAGGCGGTGTCAGAGGAAGGCCCTCAAAATTGTCAAAGACTCCAGTCACCCTAGTCATAGACTGTTCTCTCTGCTACCGCACGGCAAGCGGTACCGGAGTGCCAAGTCTAGGTCCAAAAGACTTCTCAACAGCTTCTACCCCCAAGCCATAAGACTCCTGAACAGCTAATCATGGCTACCCGGACTATTTGCACTGCCCCCCCACCCCATCCTTTTTACGCTGCTGCTACTCTGTTAAGTATTTATGCATAGTCACTTTAACTCTACCCACATGTACATATTACCTCAACTAGCCGGTGCCCCCGCACATTGACTATGCAACGGTACCCCCCTGTATATAGAGCCTCCCTACTGTCACTTTATTCTATTGTATATATAGCCTCCCTACTGTCACTTTATTTTTTACTTCTGCTCTTTTTTTTTTTTCTCAACACTTTTTTGTTGTTGTTTTATTCTTACTTTTTTGTTTAAAATAAATGCACTGTTGGTTAAGGGCTGTAAGTAAGCATTTCACTGTAATGTCTGCACCTGTTGTATTCGGCGCATGTGACCAATAAAATTTGATTTGATTTGATTTGATTTGAAAAGGAGGGTGGTGCTTGAAATCATTGTTCTTCTTCTGTTAACCATGGTTACCTGCAAGGAAACACATGCCGTCATCATTGCCTTGCACAAAAAGGGCTTCACAGGCAAGGATATTGCTGCTAGTAAGATTGCACCTAAATCAACCATTTATCGGATCATCAAGAACTTCAAGGAGAGAGGTTCAATTGTTGTAAAGAAGGCTTCAGGGCACCCAAGAAAGTCCAGCAAGCGCCAGGACTGTCTCCTAAAGTTGATTCAGCTGCGGGATCGGGGCACCACCAGTGCAGAGCTTGCTCAGGAATTACAGCAGGCAGGTGTGAGTGCATCTGCACACACAGTGAGGCGAAGACTTTTGGAGGATGGCCTGGTGTCAAGAAGGGCAGCGAGGAAGCCACTTCTCTCCAGGAAAAACATCAGGGACAGACTGATATTCTGCAAAAGGTACAGGGATTGGACTGCTGAGGACTGGGATAAAGTCATTTTCTCTGATGAATCCCCTTTCCGATTGTTTGGGGAATCCGGAAAAAAGCTTGTCCGGAGAAGACAAGGTGAGCGCTACCATCAGTCCTGTGTCATGCCAACAGTAAAGCATCCTGAGACCATTCATGTGTGGGGTTGCTTCTCAGCCAAGGGAGTGGGCTCACTCACAATTTTGCCTAAGAACACATTTTTACATTTTAGTCATTTAGCAGACGCTCTTATAGTTAGTGAGTGCATACATTATTTTTTCATACTGGCCCCCCGTGGGAATCAAACCCACAACCCTGGCGTTGCAAACACCATGCTCTACCAACTGAGCTACATCCATGCTAGCCATTCCCTCCCCTACCCTGGGCCAATTGTGCGCCGCCCCATGGGTCTCCCGGTCGGCTACGACAGAGCCTGGATTTGAAACAGGATCTCTAGTGGCACAGCTAACACTGCGATGCAGTGCCTTAGACCACTGCGCCACTCGGGAGACTATGAACACAGCCATGAATAAAGAATGGAACCAACACATCTTCCGAGAGCAACTTCTCCCAACCATCCAAGAACAGTTTGGTGACGAACAATGCCTTTTCCAGCATGATGGACCATCTTGCCATAAGGCAAAAGTGATAACTAAGTGGCTCGGGGAACAAAACATCTACATTTTGGGTCCATGGCCAGGAAACTCCCCAGACCTTAATCCCATTGAGAACTTGTGGTCAATCCTCAAGAGGCGGGTGGACAAACAAAAACCCACAAATTGATTATGAAGAATGGGCTGCCATCAGTCAGGATGTGGCCCAGAAGTTAATTGACATTATGCCAGGGTGGATTGCAGAGGTCTTGAAAAAGAAGGGTCAACACTGCAAATATTGACTCTTTGCATAAACTTAATGTAATTGTCAATAAAAGCCTTGACACTTATGGAATGCTTGTAATTATACTTCAGTATACCATAGTAACATCTGACAAAAACATCTAAAAACACTGAAGCAGCAAACTTTGTGAAGACCAATACTTGTGTCATTCTCAAAACCTTTGACCACGACTGTACTGTATAATCAGTTGAATTTACCAATGTGCTACTGCAGGGGTAGGCAACCCTGGTCCTGGAGTGCCACAGGAACTTCATGTTTTTGATTTAACCGACCTGGAAGACCAGGTGTGTTGAATTTAGGCAATCACTAAACTGATCAATTAGCTCAGTTGTTCAGACGTGATGCCTATGTTGGAACAAAATCCTACAGTACCTGCAGCACTCCAGAAAAATAGTTGCCTACCTCTGTGCTACTATTTGTGTGCCACTACAAAGGGTGGACAGAAAACAATGAGGGGAATTGGCTACTACTGATAATGGGCAATACAGGTGCACCACTGAAGAAAAGAGACAAAAGTGAAAGCATGTAGCAACCACTGTGCAATGTGCATTACTAAAGACAGAAAACAGACAACAGAGAGAGAGAGAGAGAGAGACAGTATAGCATCTACTGTTTATGAATAGTAGACTTTAGGTACACTACTAAAACGTAGTGACAGACAAAATAAAACAACGTGTGCAGCATTTGGAGAACAACATAGCCTCTGCTGCTGTCCACACACCACTTCTGGGAGGACAGACTCAAGATCAATTCTTTGGTGAAATTGTACATCATTTCATACCCAGCTGGGTTGGGGAAAAGTGAGGCACTATCAACAGTTGCCA